TCGCCCAATTAGTCGGGGCGACCCCGACGACGCTGACGACCAACTTGAAGCTTGCGGTGCCCCTGCTGCCCTCGAAACTGATCCTCCGCAATACCCAGGCGGGCAGCCCCCGTAAAAACGTCGCCTTTGACCCCCAGGACACCATGATCCCGGGATACTCGTTGGAAGAGCTGGACGTGTCTCTGGAGCAGCCCACCACCATCTACCACCCGCAAAACGTCAACTGGCTGGCGCCGGCGCTGCCTCTGACCCTAGGGGGACCGCCACCGCCGCCTCATCGCACCAACAGCCGCCAGTTTGGCGTGCAGCCGCTGAATAACTCAGCCCGCCCGCAATCGATGGACGAAGAGCTTATCTACCGCGAGCGTCACCACCGCGAACTGGTGGAGTCGACCCTCCACCTGTTAGCCACGCTGATGCGGCGCCATCTGCTCACCACCCCGCAGCTGGTGGTGCCAACGCTGGAGTTCTCGTATCGGCTGCTGGGGCTGCTGCTGCGGCTGAGTCTCCAGCTGTTACACGACGAGAACCGCCAATTGCCAATGCAGCTGACGCTGGCGACCAGCCAGGGTGTGGTGCTTAAAGCTGGTGGACTTAAAGGGTTCTCTCTCGATGCCGTTGACCAACTTATTCCCGCTACTCACAACCACCACGATCTCCAGCCGCTGCCGACGTTGACCAAAGACGTCCAGTTCCCCATTGACGATATTAGCCATCTGGGCAGCGACGACGACTTTGACCGTCTGTACATGCTGACCAGTCAGCTGATCATGAACATCTTGAATACTGCTGGCTCTAGACACACATTGGTCGAGGATGAAGAGCACGAGATTGTGGTGAAACAGGAGCCTGACTCGACAATGGAGCACATCATCGTCAAGCAGGAACCCACTGACAAGATCCCTCAAGCGGTGATGAAGGAAGAGGTGCCGGTTAACAACGACGAACTTGGCGCTGAAATCAAAGACGAAAGCGAAGACAGTCTATTCTTCAACGACGTCGACCCTCCCAAGTCACCCCTGGATCGCGACATGCCGGCAGCGCTTACGCTTTTGCCCCACGACTACCCACAGCTTTCGCCGACCACCATTGATGCCCTCGACAACCTGAGGGTGGAATCGGTTCTGGACTTCGGTCACCAACGAGCAATGGTCCCGCGTCTTGTGGAAACTGGTTCCGCTTCGGCCCTGCTGACGTCAGTAACCTCTCGCCAAGTTTCGCAAACTGAGGCTCAAACTGAGGCTCAGGCCGTCGAGGAAGGTGCTGAAGAAGGCGTCGAAGAAGGAGCCACGACCTCGGCCGACTCGTTTACGCAGCTGATACGCTACGAGTTGGACTCGCAGTGGCGTCTCGAACACTCTAACGATGGTGATCGCGAAGACAACGAGGAGGTGACCGGCTACATTGACCACCCTACCCTCGACCCTCTGGCTGCCGCCACTCCTAAATCGCAGCATTTCACCTTCAACGACACCGTCGAGGAAGCAGAAGAAAAAGAAGAAGCTGTGGAGAGTCCGATTGACAAGGCGGTCGATGCTAACGACAGTATTGCCGACGACGCTCTTGCCAACTCGTCGAATATTGCCCCGCCCATGGAACTTACCTACCCCGACACTGTGACCAAGGAAGTCATTGATACCCCTAAGGCGACCGACGACATTGCACCGACTGCGACGTCGTCCACACACTCGCTCACTCCCCTCGACCCAGGCGTTGCTGATACCTTTGAAGCGCTGTTGAGTGCCGAGCACGACCGCCACACCGTCGCCAAACCGACGTCGTTCTTGTCCATCTGGCACCAGCAGCAACGCCGCCACCCTCGCGACGTCTCGACCAGAAGCGGTCTGCGGGGCGTGTTGGATCCCTCTCCAGCGGCGACGGTGACCCCGAAACCAGCTCAACTTCCTCAAGCGCGCCCGCAAAAGTTCAAGGGCGTGCAAGTTGTGCTGCGGCGAGTGGTGCTGCCGCTCCTCAATACTACCGGAGAGTTGTTGCCGGAGCTTTCTGTGGACCTGGGGCTTGCCAGCCACTTTGGCTTCCTTCAACTGCGCCAACTGCTGGGCGAGCTGACGCGGCTGTTCCGCCAGCCGTCTGCGTCGCGTACGTTGCTGGTGACTTCGGCAATGGCTCCGGCAGTCATGCTTCTGCTGACGCCGCTGTACTCGTTGGAGCCTCTGCGGCTGACGGCTGCTTCCAGCTATAACCATGGCATCAATGAACAACCCAGACGCCTGCGGTTCCGTGTACCCACGTTTGAGATCGAACGGACTAACCTGATCCTTTCGCCCAAGAACATGTACAACCAAGACATCTTTGGCGATCGTGATGCTTCTTCTCAATTGCGGTCTAAGCCTCCTACGATCAAGGGCTACGGTCTCACCACTTTACCCCTGATGGATCAGAATGATGTCAAACGGATTCTCCTGGCGAAACAAGGGATGTCTCATGGCGAATACGCTCAGATCAAGCTCAGAGGCAACTCAAGTCAAAAGACTCTGGTGGCGGCTCCCCTTGTTGACCACGACAAGTTGGAGAAGCACGCGCTGATTTGTGAGGCGCTGTTGATGACCGATGGCGATGACGGTGCTGATGGTGTTGTTGATGACGAGGCTCCCACTGATGCCGCCCACGTTGCTCGTGAAGTCCTTCGTACTCCTAAGGCTTTGCGTCTGACTGATCAGTTCTTCCACGACTACGACTTGTTCCAAGAACTGGAGTTCCCCGAGCCCGACCCTGAGCTTTGCGGTGACTTGAAGTACCAATCGATGTACGCTGACTACCCGTTGGAAGGCCTGACCACGCTTGCCAACTATGAGGCAGCTGCTACTCCGAAAACGCTTGCTCCAGCATCTCCGATGAAGGCTCCGATGTCACCTGAGAGAAGTTCCGTATCTCCCGTGAGAGCTCCGATGTCACCGGAGAGAACTGCAGTATCTCCTGTGAGAGTGGCTCCTTCGTCTCCGGTTAGAGCTCCCGCTTCGCCTGTACGGACAGCTCCGTCGTCGCCGACCAAGGCTCCTCGCAGTCCGCTTAAGGTCGTGGCCAAGAATGGCGAGCCGGTTCGTCGCAAACCTTTGGGACCCCAGAACATTGACATCGTATCTCGTCGCGTCCTGGACCTGTCGCAAAAGGTTGACGACGAGGCTACGGAACTGGTAGCTGTGGAAAAAGCCCCCGAGGCTGCTGAGATTGAAGCTGAACTTGACGATGAGAACGTACAGGCGACAAACGAAAAGACCGAGCCTGAGCTTCCTGATCGCGGCCGGCTTTTCTTCCGTGTCATCGGCCTTAAAAACGTCGATCTCAAGGACCCGAGAAGTCGCGAGGCTGAGTTCCTGATCACTTTGGACAACGGTATCCACTGCATCAAGACTGCCCCCTATAAGCTCACCAGCGCCCATACCCCAATTGGCAAAGAGTTCGAGCTCACAGTGCACGATCTGTTGCAATTCATCATGACGCTCAAGATGAAGTACAAGCGGCCTCAGGGTAGATTGGTTGAAGTTCGCCAGACGAAGACGGTGAAGCCCAAGCTGAAATTGCAACAGATTTTGGGGAAGAAAGAGCAGGTGGTGACGACCAAATTTGTACCTGAGCAAGCTGAGGACACCTGGCAGCACAAATTCGCTGAAGACGGTCTGTTCGCTCGTTGTTACATTGACTTGGAACAATACGAAGATCTGATCAGGGGCACTGCTAGCAACTTCAACTTGAACTGCTTCAATGAATGGGAAACCATCGAGGAAAATGGTCGTCGGGTGAAGGCCAAGCCCTACCGCATTGGTGAGTTGGAAGTGCGGATGTTGTTTGTGCCTCGCACCGATAAACATGAAGTGTTGCCGGCTCTGATGCGCCAAGCCTACCAGCTGGTGGCGGAATTACAACGTGAGCTTCGTAACTACAACGAAGGTTACATGTATCAAGAAGGCGGTGACTGCGACCAGATGAAGCGCCGTTTCTTTAAGCTTGAAGGTACTCTGCTTATCGCTCACCTGGAGTTCAGCCACAAGACGCGGGCCAAGATCAACTTGCTGAAGGTGGTACTGGTCAAGTATACCGACCGGGAAAACATTCAGCATGGTAGCCATCGCAATTTCACCGACGCAATGGTGATGGACAACTCGTTCCAGATCAGATTTGCTAACGGCGAAACGATCGACTTTTCGGCGCCGCTGGAAATGGAGAAGATGAAATGGATTGAGTTGATCGAACTCATTGTGAGTAAGAACCGCTTCAGACGCCAACCTTGGGTGCAATTAATGATGGAAAACCGTGGTGATGTCCTTATCGAGGAAACCATGATCACCGGCACCAAGAGCAAAGTCCACCTGGCGTTCCCTCAGCGGTATGAGGGTAAGGCTGTGGTGGCATGAACAATGTAATTATTTAATACTTTAACGATAATGATTCTCCGTGTGAGAAAGTTTAATGCTTACAAACGACTAGTCTTTATTTGTAAACCTATAAGCTAATCAATATCCATAAAGTGAATCCAAGTGGACTCGTTCCAGACTATTCTCAAATGGTTGCAAAGATTGCCACACTTCACACTGGAGGTTAGATTTCGCATATGTCAAACAGTCAGTTTTAATCTTCGTCACTAACGTCACTAAGACAAGAAACTCAAGAAAAGCAGCTACGATGGACTAACATTCAGGTGGAATCTCTTCATAGTACAGGCACATAAATAAGTGATGTTGTAAATTTCTGTTGATTGAGTTGAAATTTAGATGTGGATACCAGTGAATGGCTCTGCTGCACGGATGTAATTGTTCTCAACGCGAAGAATAGCAAATCCCTCGATATGCTGATAGCAATTGCTAGCTTATAAAATGGCACTTAAAGCTGTTGATCCTTTGGAATGATGATTAAAAAAGAGAGTTTTATGATGGTCTTTTGTTAAGCAATGTACGGAGGTTTGATGATAAACACAGAGCAGGTTGAGGCACACGGAGTCAACAAGGGTGCGACAAGTGGCAGATACCGATTGAAGAATTGTTCTTAAATGCAGGGCAGCTCGGAACGGTAAGAAGTCAGCCTTGCTTGGTACACGCAATATCAAGTGTCGGGAGTTGGATTGTGCAAAGATCGAGCACATCCATGAGATGGTTGAGAAATTAACCTACAATCCTGTGGGTGACGCTATGTCAAAACGAAGATTGGCAACGGGAGTTGCGGAAGCAATTTAAAACAAGTGCAACAGGTTGAAGTCTCTTTCAATTAAGGGAAGCGTGGAAACTTTCGTTGATGGTCAGAACACCTTCAAAATGCCGTCCTCCGTGCGACAAGTCAAATTGGATGGCAGTTTGACTTTGAAGACTTTGAATATTGAATCTGAACAACAACTCGAGCATTACGAGTGTTCTCGTCTTGTTAGCAAGCAGCCTGCGACGTTTAATCGGGCCCTCTTAGGGCTGCGTGTTCCACAGTCTAGTCTGAGTCATCGGAGGTAGCCAGGTCATCAGAGTTGGGACCGTCAAGTTGATACTCTGTTTGAGAGTGGCGGGCTTTGAATCTCGACAAATTGCAGACTACGGCAGATCTTTTATAGGTAGTGAGATTGATTGTATGCGAGTAAGGAAACTGTATGATGATATGAAGTATAAGCTCAATTAACCATTGATCAAGCAATAAAAAGAGCTGAGTCAAAGCTTGTGTAAAAAAGAAGCCCGATGCGGGGCTCGAACCCGCAGCCTTGAGATTAAGAGTCTCACGCTCTACCGATTGAGCTAACCAGGCGAATTTGACAAATTGCGAGGTACATGCGTTTATGAAAAGCAGGAGACGTTTATATTCGAGATTTACTTATTTTGGATAGACACATCAGAATTAGACAATACGTTGAGGTCTTATGAGATCGAGGAATGCTTGATGATAGTTTTTGTTCAGATCCAACGTTAAAATATAGTGTATATGATTGCTAATTAGTTAAGCAATAATGACAGGAACCATTCGACTTACAACAAAGCCATTTGGGTCCAGCTATCGTGCTATCATACAGAACTAAACTTTGGTGCTTTAAGTATGTGTCATTACTCACTATATCGGTTCCGACATCAGAGCCTCGGTGAGCCACTTTTGCCTTCTATCCTGATAGTACATTCGTCATTTCGTTAAGTAGGGGAGATTGAGTTTCATTATCTCGCGGCACATGATGAACCAATCAACCTCCCGCAAATTTGTCAGCAGATGGTCTTGTTTGAGCTTTTCCTGCTCCTCCCATTTAAACAACTCGTACATGAAGCGTAAGTTTGGTTGAATGATGATGTTGAGTCGACGCACCCGCACGTAGAGGTAGGCATTAGGAATGGTGATTTCGAGTCTTCTCATCACTTCAGCGATAGCCACAGTAGCACTACGAGACACCCCCACTCGACAGTGCACTAAGATCCGCACCTGGCCCTCCAGTTTGGTGTATTCGTCATTCAAAAATTGAAGAATTCTCGGTAACAGCTGTGAGAGCTCATCGATGCCATCATCAAGGAGGTTGTTAACTTTCATCACCGTATCGACAGAGTATTCTGATTTAACAGAGATCATCTCGATGTTGCCATTGTCTTCAGTAGTCACCTGGGAATCCTCGGGTATCCAATCCAAACTTTCGCCAACACTGATGATCTTAGTGATGCCAAGTTTCGTCAAGATCGCAGGGCAGTTAGCATGCTTCAACGACCCCAAGTAAAGGTAAGGCAAGATCCGCAGCGGAAGCGACCCCTCCACTTGAGTCACCCACAGAGTTTCTTCGGCATCGTCCACTTCTTCTTCGTCCAGTTCGTTAGCGATGAATCCCAAACGACAACTGTCAGATACCGTTTTACTGGGGGAACCCAACAAGATCTCGTTAATTTCTTGAGACAGAATCTTCTCTGGTTCCAGCCAGTCAATGTCTTGGCGGCGTAATGGAGAGAACTTTCGTACCAAAGCCTCAAGCTTTTCCAAAATCACCGCGTCGGAGGGGAAAATGTAGAACGGCCTTCCATATTTGGTGTGAAGCGTAATCATGGCATCGCCCAAACTGATATCCAACAGGTACATCAAGTACAAAAGCACCAATAACAGCAGCTCAGTGTAGCCGTCGTTACAGTAGATTAATGTCAGCTCAACGTTAGCTGCCTGCAGTGTCAGCAGCAGGAACATGTAAATGAGTTTACAAGTGTTGACAATCAGAGCAAGGTTGTCAGGCTTGCAGTCGCCAATGCCAACGCTTCCCAGCGGGGGAAAGTCGAGTAGATGCATGATTTTGTCATTTTGGTTATCCTTAGCATGTTTACTTCGCAACAGGCATTTGTAGATGAGCAGAGACAATGTCGAAGGGTTGGGGAACCGTGCATCGGAGTGGCAATGGAAAAGCAACCGCCAATTGGCTTTGGGTTGAGGAAGAGAGTCAAGGACATTGTCAAAATCTGAAAGCGAGGTGACCACCAGATTGTCGGGATCACAATACATGTGAGGCCAGCCTTTCAGTTCGGATGACAGCTTATGCTCCTGAGTAACAAACGAGTGGTAGTCCCAGTAGTTACCTGCCCATACTTGTCCATTAATTTTGGTGGCCAGCGCCATTCTCATATTCTCAACTTTCTCGCGGACAATGTAGTCATTTTTCCACAGAAGCTGGCCATCAAGGTCAGCTACTGCTCCCAGATGAGTGTATACGGCGTAGGCTGGTTCGAGACCTTCGGTGAATGCTTCATGCTGTTGAGCCAACCATAACACGCGGGCGAAGCTGGCAATGTGGTGGTTGCCGTAGACGATAAAGTCCAGGCACGATGCTAATTTTGCCACCTGAATGTGGAAGTTGCGAAGCGATACGCCACGATCAGGATCCAAATTGAGGAATATCGGCAAGAATTTGATGAGGAGACAGTCACGTGTGAATACATCGACGACGGGATCCAAGTCGATGGAGTCGGGGAACAAGTTGGAGAAAATTTCGTATACAATGCACCGGACCTCAGCTCGCAGCACGTCGACTTTGCGAAGCACGTCTTTAAGTTTCACCGTGTTTTTGAGCACGTTCTGGGTATCGAAATGGCGGTAGTTATGGAAGTTGTGTGGGGTAAGAAAATGCGTAGTGAAAGGGTCGACGGCCGAGTCCTCATCGGTGTCAACACACATGAGGAAGCGGGCGACACGCGGTTTATCTACCAGCACGGGGCGGAACTCGGGGAACTGCTGGTTGAGGAAGAACTGGCGCTGGGCAAAGTTCTCCTCGTGCAAGCCGTGGAGCCAGGGGAACATCTCGTTGGTCAGCGGCAACGGTTGGTTGAAGTACCACCGCAAACACGAGTTGAGCCGGGCGGTGGAAAGCGATTTAATCACCACGCCAAAACCTTCGAGCTCAGGGGGCATTTCCATCAGCGGCAACTGGCGGTAGAACGCCAGCAGCGCCAGCAATGGCAGGTCGTCGACGACCCGGCCGTCTAGCGCCAACGTGGTGGGGGCAGGGCTGGGGCAGCTGTAGCGTTTCCTAAGCTCGCTCATCAGCAGAAGCAGCAGCAGCGGCAGGATCGTTGCAGTCATTTGCATAGTCCCCAGGTATGTTGAATATCGCTGGGGGTATGGATGAAGGCGGGAGAAGAGGTGTGGGGAGTGGGGTGTGGGAGTTGAAGCTAGAGAACCGGAGACGGGCGAAGGGCTTCTCGACTCGGATGGGGTTCGCATTCTCCTCGAGCCTGTGTGCAGGAAAACTCTACTTATGAAAATGTACGGTGCTGGCCGAGAAGGAGGGGGGAAAACCTGGCCGTGTGGTCACAGACCGCCTCATCGGGCCGAGCGATGCCACTGCAACCTAGTGTGGCGGCGTGATTTTTTAGTTCAGAGTTATGTACCACTTCAACGGTTTGTGAAAGGTGTACCTGAGTGGGAGAGACGATGGGTGAGGGTGGTTGGAGTGGCAACATTGCTGGCCTGGAGGAGGGGCGATTGTTCGGTGTGTATGTGGCTGGAACGAGGAGTCGAATTGTGGGGTGCGCGGGGAGTGACAGTAGCTGCGCATTTTTTCTTTGACTCGGGTCTGCGTGGGAGGAGGCACGCGGGTCACGAGGTCCGTCGGGGTTAGAGAGAAGCACGGAGAAACGACCCCGAACGGTGGTGGTGGTAAATTGTATGGTGTAGACATATTGGTAGTGGCTGAAGTGTACGGTTTTGTGCTTCCCCAGGGGTATCTCATATCGCTGAAGATTATTCGTTATCTAATAGGTGATAACGCACTTCCCTCATCTCTGAGTAAGCGCAACTCCAGCAGAGAAATTGGTATTCAAATTTGGGAAAAGATGACCAAGGGATGGAATGTCAAGAGAGAGACTTTGGCAATCATCATTGGGTATTCCTTCGATAACTCTTTTGTTACCATACAGCTTCGTCTATATTAGATATTTCGAAGAATACCGATGGGCTGCAAGGCGGCAATACTGTGTCAATGCCATTTTCACCGGTCAATATTGTCCACCGTCTGCAGCCTTTGATTGAGTCTACAGCGAACACCAATAGTGATGGATGATGACAAGACGTCCCAAAACAACAATGCAGGCAGACGCTAAATGTTTAAATCGAACTGTTGATCTAATGATTCTGTTAACAAAACATTGATTGGTATCTATATACTTGGTTCGACTTCTACTTAGAAGTCCTTGTCGACCCATTGCCAGTTGATCTTGATTCTACCGGCGCTGACGTCGTTGTTGGTAAGCTGGTTGTACGCCTTGGGGGTCAAGTCCAAGTCGTCGCGCTTACAGCTGGCACAGGTGTCGACGACGGTGACGATGGCGGTGTTGCCGTTTTCGGGGTTGGTGACCTTGATCTTGGCACCACACACGGGGTTTTTGTTGTTGTTGAGCTGCTTGTGGGCGTTCTTGACCTCGTTTTGACGTTCAATGGAGATGGCGACAATCATGTCGTCCTCGGTGTGGTGGTCGCCACACGAGCCGAGGGCCACCAGGGGGTCGTAGTAGGTGCCGTCACCAGTGAAGGTTTCGCCCAGGCCTTCTTCCGACGAAGAGGTCGACGAGGGCGACGCCAGAGTCGAAGTCGTGGTGGTCTTGTCGTCCTTGTTGTCGTCGTGCTTCTTGTCGTCGGGCTGGGCAGCGGCATTGACGTCGCCGGTGACCTTAGCGGCATCGGCGTCCTCGGTGGTGGTGGTGGGGGCAGCGGTGGGGGTGATCAAAGTGGTCACCGAGCCCAGGGTCACCTTGACGGTGGTGTATTGAGTGACGAAGGCGGTCTTCACTTTAGGAAGAGGCGACGCAGCGACGAGCGACGAGGCCAAGGTGGTCAAAAGAATGGAGGTAAACTTCATTGGGAACTTATAAGGATTGAAACGCTAGTTGGTAGCGGGTATTTGCTTGGAAAACGATAGGCAAGGGTTTTGCTTGGGAAAGGAAGGAATGAACGAACTCTAACGGTTCAATAAGCTTCGACTCTGGTAACGAGGTTGGAAAGGTTTAAACAAGAAAGGCATTGGAGGTGAAAATCGGCGGAACTTTATACTTGGGGTGGTTGCACGGTGGAGGGTCTGTCTCCTGGGCCGGTAACCCAACGCTCGCCACCAGAGCGGCGAGGGCTACAGGTGAGTCGACACTAAACCGCAGCGGCCTTGGGTCGATGGAACGTTTACGTAATGTCCTCCACGTCACCCGCCTCAGACTCTTACAGTACGCTTGAAATCACCAGGTGGCGTTGGCTGGCGTAGGTGCCTCAAGTCCTCCATATTAGCGTACCCCTATCCTTACTCATCACAGCTACGATTGATCTCCGTTTAATGATGGTTAGTAGAGGCGGGTTTAGGCGCCAGGCGTGGACTAAGACGCATCCAATATAATTTAAAGTTTGGGGAGTGGGTTGCTCACCCGGGGGGAGGGTGAAAAATTTTCGAAAATCTGTGGTCTCGGGTTATGTTTTACACGAGTATTTGGGGAACAAGCCGTGGGTGAGGGCTCGTCACTTGGAGCCCCGGGCGATGGTCGTAAGGTGGATGAGCGAGGCACAAACGTGGGGCGATTACTGTTGTGTTCTAGAAGGATGGCCCACTACATGCTGCGTAGTTCTAGAAGAGGCGTAGGGGTCACTGTCAGCGCAGGCGGCACGAAGACTGATGGGTGGCGTCGGTGCCATTGGTGGTTTTTTGTCCCCGGTGTGGGGCATTGGTCTAGACCCCGTTATTCATCATCGCACTTTTCCAGGCACCCTCCTTACGACGACGCCGTGCCACCGGGCGGTTGTCGTGGCAATGGACGGGTAATATGCCGGATCATCTCTACTACTCTCGCCTAAAATGAGGCTCAACTTAAGATTCTGACATGTAACCCTCTGCATTTTTCTTCATCTCGTTTTCTTACATTGGCTCGGTGAAACCACTTTTTTTTCGCAGTTGCACAGGTAAAGTTTTTCACTAGGTGCGAGCGCATATGAAGGAAAAAAGAAAAGAAGGTTTGTTTTGTCATCAGGCAGTAGACATATATGACCACGTTAATAAGGTGCATCTCGACATAACTGACACGAGGCGTCGGCATTTAATTTGTTATCATTGGCGGTCGCTTGGACTAGAACTTTGGGGAAGCGTGTGGGGCTATGCGCGCATTCCCCGAGCACACTGGTGAACAATAGGAAAAGCAACCAACGAGACACACGATTCGACGCCATCGCCGTGATGCTCGAGTCGAGATGTTGGCATAGTAGCACTGGCCCTATACGAAGGAGCGCACTACCAGTGGGAGAGGTCGTGTAGGCATAATATTTGTCGTGTTCCTAGAGGCTTAGCTAATGAGAAATGGGGGACATGAGGACATTAAGGTTCATTACTATAACAACGAGATGGAAGACAACCAACCGTTCGTAATCTATGCAGTGTGCCAACAACGCGTTCTGAAACATTCGTTACAATAGCGAATAGAGCTTGGAAAACTCCTTGCGGCCTTTACACTCCAACATGTAGATCTCGTTGGCAGAGCACTTCACCAACAACCCCGCGCGGCCAATCGGCTCCAAGGTGTATTTTTTGTCGGAGTTAGCAATCATCCACAGCACTTCGTCGCCATGCTCGAGGCCCTTGAGCGCAAATTGAAGATAATCGCTCAGCGTGCGCGCCTCGGATACGGTGTAGAGCGTGAGCAGGTACATCCCCGTGATCGTCCACAGCTGAGGGTCTTGGATGGCGGCGTATCCCTTCGTTTGTACCAGCATGCGGATCTTCATGTTCAGTAACACTAAGAGACGATCATTTAAGGGGTCTCTAAGAATCTCTGCGGCTTCGTGGGCCAGTAACGGTCTTGTTTCTGCCACTGCGGGGAGCTTCGTCTTCTTGACAAACCCCAGCCCCACGCCTGCGTTGGTCGTCAGCAGGCCGTAGGTGGAAATCAGGGTGAGCGTGCTCAGTTTCAGCGCCGGCGCCGAGTGGTTGTCTGAAGCCAGCAGCAGCAACAGCAGGTTTGAAAGCAGCATTTGCGAGTAGTCCTTAGCGAGATCAGCTTCGCAGAGCCAGTCGCTCAACTTGGCGTGGAGCGCCGTAGCCTTACACGTGGTGATCAGAATCAACAGCGGTTCTGTAGAACCGATCACCCGCGCGTGGACGTGCACTTCACGGGGGTTGGCAAGTCTTACCGTCAGAGCTGTAGTCAACTCAATCACTTCGTGGTCGCCATTGACGAAAAGCCACCCTTTGTTCACCAGGTTGTTGACGACAAACTTGAGCGTAGCATCACCGTGGAAAAGCTTCAGCCAGTCTCCCTTTAATTGTTTGAGGGTGAGACTGTACTTAAGGGTAGTGAACACCACGATATTGGTAGACTCCTTTGCTTCCAGAGGCACCTTAGGAGGTAAGGGAGGTGCGGGAAGGGGAGGCGCCAATGCCGCTGCGGGGGCAGGCGGAGGCGGAGCGGCTCTTGCTGGTGGCTGGGTAGTAGCGGTCGTCTTGGCTTTGGTATTATTAGTGGCTGGAGCCTTCGGGGTAGTGGAAGTGATGGTTTTGTTGCTGCTCAGAGTACCGAGAGAGAGGCTGGAGCCATTGACATCGTCGTTGACCGAGAGCTTCAGCGTGTTGCGGAACAAGTTGAAGAACAGCTTCCGGCGCCGAGGAGCCGGCAGCGGCGCCACCGGGGCCTGAGATGTCGACGCAGCAGCGCTGAAGTCGGGAACGTGGCCAGCACCAAAGTTGGCAATGTCCACTTCCAGCCCACCTGGAAGTTTGTAGATCAGCAGTTTCATCACCAGTCCGCCCACGGGCTTAAGATCGATCTCGTCAAGATCACTCAGAGGTGCCAGCAGCTCTGGAGTATAGGCGAACTCGGCCGCCAGCGGTGCCAGCGGCGCCACCCCGCGTACCGGTGCCGGGCGCCGTTGTTGACCAGCAGCAAGTCTGGCCGCAGGAGCATCACACGGCGAAGGCGCCGTGTACACCAGCAGCGACGGCGTCAGCGGCTTCTGTACTTTCCGCGGTGCTGGTGGCACTGGCAACGCTAACGAGTCAAGCGACACGTTAGGAGAAAGATCGTCAAGAGTCGGCCGAAGAGGCAGCGGCGTATCGTACAACTGGTAGAATTCCGGGGTGGGTTCCGGGTGCGATGGCGGCGTCGGCGGCGGCGTCGGCGCCAGCGCCAGCGCCGCAGCTTCAGGGGCACTAACAAAGCCAATGCCCAATCCCAGCATTTCCTGGTGAGGAGTGGTGGTGGCTACCGCGTCAGCCACGATGGGACAGTTCAGTTCGGGGAAGATTCTCACCAATTTGGCATACCAAGTGGCCAATAAGTCGTCGCGGTCCAGAGTAAGGCGCACTTGGGCGCGGGCGCTGGAGCTATTAGCGTCATCACTGCCGCTGTAGTTAACGGCAGTGAGTGTAAGACCATCACAATGGGCGACGCTGACCTCGTTGACTCTGAAGGGGGGGAATGCAAGTTGGCGGTAGGCACCATCGACGCGCACGATCGCGAGCGCGTTGTATGCGACGTCGCTCTTCGTGACGTCATCAGGAGTGGTGGAAGAGGAATTGGCGTTAAGGTTAAGTAACAACAATTCCACGGGGACATCGGCGCCGGAATCTTCCACCATCATCACCAGGGCGTGGCCCAGACGGTGGACGATATCGTCGATGCGGAAGTACAGCAGCACATGGTTACGTTCGAGGGTGCCAAACAGCTGGATCAGGTCGAAGCGGATGGCGTTCATTTTGCGCACCATCTGCTGGCGCTGGTGCTGGTGTAAGATCGCCTGGCACTTTTGCTTCAAGTCAGCCAATCTGTCGGCGACAAACGGGTTACGGCAGATGCGGTAGGCAGTAGTAATGAACTGGACGTAGTTCGACAAGTGCGCCACCACGGGCGCTACTTGCGGCAAGTCGTCGTGGCTGATTTTGTCGTACAACACCAAGGCGTCGCCGCCGACGTCGACGAGGAACTGGTTGACCACTTCCTTAAACTCTTCAGGGTTGGCCTTGACGGCGGTGGTAGCGCGCTCTAACCGCGCCACCATGGTGCTGTTAAGCGTATAGAGGCCTCGCACCCACAGCGCCAACTGGGGGTGGGTCTTGGGGCGAACCACCCCCATCACCCCGATGAGGTGGTTGGTAAGGGCGCGCTCCTGTTGCAATAGCAGCGCCACGGCGTCTTGGGGCAGGGTGTGCACGATGGTGAACCCCGGGACAACAGTCATCGCACCGCCTTTTTGATGTATGGGTTTTTTTTCGCTAGGGCACAGCGGGCGCTGTTTGGTTTATATGGCTGGCGCCCCTGCCGGTCGCATGTAGTGCTGGTGTGAGCTATCGCGCCTGCACCAATTATTCCCAAACGAGCGATGACACGCGTGGCATAAGCACGATGAAACACATTAGGAGGCGCCTCTAGACCTTCTCTGGACAAACAAACAACGCCAGCACCAGGCAGGTGAATGGGCATTGTTCGGTGTCGGGATAGTGGCGCCGATGTCTCCGACACATACGAGCGACTAGTCGCCGGCACCCCGTCGCCGGGACGCGCCCGCAAATCTTGGGGAGAGCGCCTTTTTTCGGTGTCGACACCCGCCCCATCCCTGGCAACGGCCCTCGTGACACAAACGGCAGGAAAATACACCGATGGAGAAGGGACCCTGGACAACACTCAATTACACCGCCCAGTGCTGAGTGGCAACGGGAAATAAACTAATAGAAAATGCTAGACTCTAATAGGGGTTATCTAGCCCACGCAGCAGTCTTTTTGGGGCCGAGTAATCGCCATTATCACACCCAGTTTTTACCTTTTCGTAGCCGACGCGTATTTGTTACTCCCACCTTGAAAATAGTGTTTTCGCAGTCAAGGGGGGAAAAAGAGGGGGCGAATTACGGTAGCAATCAACCAGCCATGGCGCGAGGTAAGTCGAAGAGAACGGCGGTGAATCTTTCCGAAATTATCCGAAACGTTCGCTCCGGGCCGACAAGTTTACCTTAATTTCATAGTAGTTTTGTACTTTACTTATCTACGTTTATCTACCAGGGCTAGAACAGTCAGTTAGGCCTAGAGGGGCATTCTCTGGCAGGCAGCACAACCTTATCGCATACAGCACCCCGGGTTTAGCACTATTGTTTGCGGGTGCATTAGTTTTGGGGAGTGACAGGGTATTCCGACACTCGACGCGTACGAAAACGCGTGTCGCACGCGTCGCAAAAACGTTATAATGGGCCAAGCCGCACACTCATGGAGGAACGATATTTCCACAGTAAGCCAAGCCTTTGGCCATTGCCACCAGCAACAAGAAAAATGACTTATTGCCTAATTCATATTGTAGTGGTCTTCGAGGATTGCCTCTAACACGCGATCAAGGTTCTCCCCCGTCTTAGCACTAGCCACCACCGTGGTCACATCGTCGCCAAACAAAGCCTCCACTCGAGGCACCACCTCTGCCCGTTGCAGTGGCGGCAATAGATCAACTTTATTTACCACTACCACCACTCGCACTCCCACGAGTCTCTTAGTATCGCGAAGCTCATTCAACTCTTGCGCCAGCTCCTGTACTCTTTCCACTGAGGCTGCGTCCACGACCCACACCACCACGTCAGTGTGTTCAAAGTAGTTACCCCAGAAGGGACGAAGACTCTTTTGACCTCCGACATCCCAAAAGTGGATGGTACTATCCTCTCTAGTCAAAGTGTCGATGGCAAACCCCATCGTCGGCAGCGTCGCCAGCGGATCATTAAGCAAGTATTTCACCACCGTGGTCTTACCAGCATTATCTAGCCCCAACACTAGCACTCGAAGCTCGCGGTCCTTGAGCTTTTGTGCGCGGATGATGCTCAATAGGCCCATGGTCCTGTCATAGCGATCTGGTAGTTATTCGCCTGTGGGGTGCGTGTGCGAAGCAACTGAAAGCCCCATCATCGCATCGCCCCATGGATGACGGTGGCGCCAGCATCCCCTGTCCCGTGTGCAACTATGATCTCCGCAAGTTTGAGCTCGTGACACGAGCCGCCCACGTCGAGGCGTGCTTGAACCCGCCGAAACGGTTTAAAGGGTCCTGGTCGCACCGGGTCGCCTCCAAGGCCACCACTAAAACTACGAAAACAAACGGTACCGCTAATGGATCAACGACTAAGGTCAAGCGAGAGGTGTCAGTTGATCAACAAATGCTAATAAAGAGGGAAGTTTCGGTGAAGCAGGAAGTTGTGGATGATGATGAAGTCTCTATTGTTGAGGTCAAGAAGGAACCAACACCATCAGCTGGTCTCCCGATCAAACAAGAAGCTAAGACTTCTACCAGTATATCAGTGAAACTGGAAACAACAACGTCAGTTAAACGAGAGGGCACAACTACTCCCAAAACAACAAACTTGAAAAGTCTACCGCCAAAGGCTCAGGAGCAACACAAGTTCACCAACAAACCTCAAACAACGCCGTCACTGACCAAACAGATCAAACCTCCGAAAACCCTCGTGCTGCGAGGTCGAGCCAAGCGAGATATACCACCAGTGAAAATCATGACGTTTCAAACTGGTTATGCCACGCCATACACCATCGCTGTCGACGCTTTCAACTTCAACCCTCACCCCATCATCGATACCTATGTGCTCACCCACTTTCACGGCGATCACTATGGTGGGATCTCAAAGCAGTGGAGTTACCAGCGTGTATTCGGCGACGACCAAGACTACGATAACGACGCCAAGTACCGCCACATCATTCTCTGCACTCGCATTACCGGAGAATTGCTTACGATGCGATTTAGTGTTGATCCTCGCTTCATCCAACCATTGGACCTTGATACTCGATATTGTCTTCGCCATTATACCCCTGATGGTATTAAAACTGTGGAAGTGCCATCACTGGATACCACCACTGCTGGTCTCTATGTTACCCCCATTCTGGCCAACCACTGTCCTGGAGCCGGTATCTTTCTCTTTGAAACCATCACCACTTCCGGCAGTCGCCAATACCAGCTCCACTGTGGTGACTTCAGAGTGTCGCATGCTATGCTCATGAACCCAGCATTACAACCATTCCACCGCCAGTTGACATTGGAGAAAGTATACTTGGACACCACTTATATGTCCCCCGAATACATCTTCCCTAAACAGGAGACGGTATGTGAGACTGTCGCCGATCTATTCCATACCCTTTGCAACAAAGACGACGTCTACTCCGAGTGGTTTGGCGGCAAACGCCAGGCTCGTATCACTGACATGCTATTCAACGCTGCCGCCCGTAAAAAGAAGAAGAAGTTTCTTGTACTTGTCGGTACCTATTTGATCGGTAAGGAAAAGCTTGCCATCGCCATTCTGCGCAAAATGAACTGTCCAATCTACGTGCTGACGGTGATGAGTCGTAACGACAAGGGGGCGATTCTTGCTACCTACCATGATGAATACCTTGATCTGGTAACGACCACTGACGATCTTGGTGGGGAAGGACCTCATCAAGTGGTGGTTCATCTTGTGCCCATGTCGATTGTCGGTAAGACTGATGAAATGTGCAAATACTTCAATCACAACGGCTACCAGGACCACTTTGAGCACTGCATTGGTATTCGCCCTACGGGGTGGTCGTTTGTCCCCGGCTCTCGAGGAATAGCCGATAAAGAAGGCGCCTACGTCGCTGCAAAGGTACCAAAGACATTAGCTACTCGCACAGAGTATAATAGTGATGCTATACTCAGTCAGTCGCCTAAACCGGCGCCGGCAGCGAAGAAACGAGCCAACCCTGAGATAAATGTGTTTAGAGTATACTCAGTTCCTTACTCCGAGCACCTGTCGTTCCGTGAGTTGGCATTCTTTGTCGTTTTTCTCAACATCAAGCAAGTGATACCCACAGTCAACGAACAACTGGCAGCTACGAAAATGGCACAGATCATCGCCCAATGGCAACTTGCTCGCAATGTCCGGGAACTCGCTCGGTCAGTTGATTACGCTGAAGTTGCCGATATTTTTGGTGTCGATGAAGATTTAGTCGAAAGCCTCGCCAAGCTTTCTCTTGATGACTTTTAATGACTCTGTAATTACGAACAATACACTTATAAAACATTTACAACCAAGTCTCGATTACGTTGTGTATTCGCTCTATTTAGGGGTGGCTTCGCCCGCCTTCTTCTTAGCGTAGAAATTAAGCACTTGTTCGCTCTTTGCACGGTCTTCGATGTCAGCCCATTGTACCACAAAGTCGCCTTCGTGGTAATTCTGGGTATCATCGGGGTTTGAGTCAACGTGCGACGACGAGATGGTGCGGGTGGGCACGATAGCCAGCTTCAGCAACACAAACGGGTGCCACTGGAGAATGTGGGTCAACGCCAGGTCAGGCCCAGCGGGGAAGTTCTGGTAGTTTAAGTATAACGGGTCCCCCCACTGTTGGACGACCAGCCGTCCCAAGGGGTTATTTTGGACGACAAACGAGTGGGTCTCGATCTTCTCTTTCAGCTGGGTGACAATCAAGTTCACCAGCGACCCCTTGGTGTTTTTGTAGGTCTTGATCACCCCCAGGGGCAACATGATGGGCTGTTCGCGCTTCATGATCGGCTCTAACAGCTGGGGATTCAACATGTACAGGGCCATGTCGACGGTGTCGTCCATGATGAACCCTTGTTCGTCCAAGTACCAGAACCATTTCAGCCCCGGGAACGCGTGCATTGCCGCCTGCAAGCAATAGATACGCACCCACTTCCGCTTCTGACGGTCGGAGAGATAGGTGAGGGCATTAAGACGTGGCAAAAACGTCTGGTACCACAGCACGTACAACCCGTAGCTTTGCGCGTGGGCGTAGTCAACGCGGTTTTGAACAATCTTGATTAGCAGGTCCATCAGGTACTGGTCAAAGTCGATGGCGGTAACCACCACCACTTCGGGGTACTCGCCGTTACTGGGACGGTGTACCCACTTGTCGTGGTTCTTAAAGTTATTCTTGGCTCGTAACAAGTCGCTCAGCTCGTTTTCTTCTTTTTCCTTCTCCATTTGCGCCTTGACGTCGGGGTCATCGTTGACGTTGTGCGAGAGAAGAAGCGTCCGCTCAAACTCGATGAACTCGGCGTCACGGACTTTGGCTTGCACCACCAAGTTTTCTGACCCAAGCTCCTTCAAAAGCGCCGCGTCTTCGATGGGAGGGTAGATGTAGCGGCTCAGCGTGTATTTGTTGGTGGTGGAGGTGAGGGGATGCGCTTGGGGGTACACCCGGTTCTGCGTGCGCGGGAACAACCGCTGGCCCACAGCGTGGTGCAACTGGAAGTACCATATCACAGCCACGGCTACCACCGCCAAAAGCGGCCACTTCAGGCGGGTGCGGCTTCGAGGCTTGAAGGTGGGCATGTACGGAGACAAGGTTGATCCAAAGGATTTTTCGCGCGAAACTAACCGGGCCGCAGGGGGACGTTGAAATGTGGCATCAGGTGATGTGGTGTCGTACACTTACTGAAAGTGGTAACAAATAACTCTAATAGTATTGTAAACGTGGGTTTATTAAGATTTTCACTATATTAATGTTGATTAGAGCTACTAGCTCACGGTTATGGCAGGGGTGGCTCGTCGCGGCGAAGCTGTCAACGGTGCGCCTGCCGAGAACAACAACAATGCGCCGCGCGATGACGTCCTTGGAGGTTGAATTTTGGGTACGCCAGCACGGCGGACTAGATTACCACTAGTGATGTCTAGTTATTTTCGGCGATTCTATCCTCGATCACCTGGAGGGCGACCTGGCGGCGGCGCTCAGCCACAGCGTTGGCGGCCAGCTTGTGGCCTTCGTGGCGGCGCTGGGCCCGAATATTGGATTGTTCGATGTCGTCGTCGTTGAACGGCGACACGATCCCGGCCAAGACCGCCACATCGTAGATACCGTCGGTGACGGGGGCCAAGTACGGCCGCGATTGCGACGGGAAGAACTCGATGATGCGGAACGTGTCCAGGGCATCGCCAATGAGAACATTGGCGTCACTGCCACCGGCGATGGGCAAGATCGAGTCCGCCGTGGATTGCTGGTAGAATCTAAGGTAGGTGTAGGCGGTGAAGAACGCCCCGATGAAGGGGACTATCGGGTACAACGTGCGGAACACAAGCGACCACACGGCGCAAATGCACATGACGATGAACGCCAACTGCTTAACCCGCACCAGCAACACCCCTTGGAACAACACGATGTTGTGTTCGGGGATCAATTGCTTCAACGCCACGAGGAACCCGACGTAGTAGGGCAAACCGCCGCCAAGGGGCTTGTTCATCCCCAACACGTCCAGACGGAAAATGTTGGACACAATCGTCACCAACACCGTCCAGAGGTTGGTGACACTACCCACAATCAAGACAAATTGCACCACTTCCTGGAAGCCCCAGAAGGTCTCAAGGTAGCGGGAGGCGAAAAACAACACCGCCAACGACGTGAAGAAGAAGAACACCGAGATCTCGGCGAAGATCGCCGTGACAAGCACCCACGGATGGGTGAAGGTGGATTTGGGAATCAATTGGAAGTTGGGCACGAGGACATCATGGAACGTCAACTTCACGTCGGGGTTCTGCGCCACCTCGCTCTGGAAACCGTTTAGCTTGACAATGAATATTATCCCCGAGATGAACACCACCGCCCCGCAAAGGATCCGGGTGGATACCGGCACGTTTGTTACCAGTAACGACATTGGCAGGCTGTGGGAACTAGGAGAAAGGGAGGTCGGGGAAAAACACGCGCATCGATCGTACGCGAGGCTTGGTGTGGTGGGTGTGATTTTTTGGGTGAAATTAGTGATAAGAAAAAGAAATAAAATATCAGGATAGAATGTGGATATCGCTTTGATTATAGGAGAAGCTTAATTGTGAATCTCATTACCATTATGCCAAGTGGGGGCGCGCCTTTATATCTACTCACCGTGGAGGCTAGTAAATCTAGCGGTGCAGCGCGTGAGGACACCTCAGTCAATAGTGTGTGTGCAGGATAAAACCACTGCTCCCAACTACTAGCCTTGAGCCTCAGCAATGACCAGCTACAATGAACTTTTCTACTTTTACAACGTTTTATCACGATACAATGCTAATTATCTTCATCATCGGTGTTGTCGTCACGGTAGCCATATCTGCGAATCTCACCCAACCGCTTACGCGCCGACGCCAACTTGTTTTCAAGCTTCAAGATCTCCACCTGTTGTTCCATCTCCACCTTCTTACCTTCCATGGTGGTCAACTTGTCGAGGTCGATGTCGTAGTCGTCCTCCTTCTTCTGTAACAACAGTTGCACCTTCAGCACCAACAGCTTACATGCGAACAGCACTCCCGACGACGCCAGCTCCAAGTTGTCTTGGGTCTTTGAGGTAAAGTTGGCCTTGACCCGCGACGCCGCCACCAATTGTGCCGTCAGCGCCGCCACTTCGTTCAGGGCCACAATCAACTCCTCGTGAGAGTTCTTGTTTCTCAATACCCCGTCAGCAGTGGTGATCAAGATGTTGGTAGCACCACCCACTGCCTTCGAGGCCGAGATGAGCCCTTCCGTCCATCTCGAGTTCTTACGGTAGAATTCGGCCGGGTTTAATTGACCTTTAGTCTTAGCCACAATTTCCCGTTGTGATTCAGTGGCACAGGTGATCAAAATCGCCACTGCATCAGTGATAGCCTTAGCAGCAGCAATGAGGGCTTCGTGGACATCGCCTGCCAGCATTTGCAACAACTTAAGCAAGAACGCTTGAGCATCATGAACATTCTTGGCAGTGGTGGCCATTTCGTTGTCGACCAAGTGTTCGAAGTCCGCCAGCTTGTTCAACTTACCCGCCAGCGAAGCGCCGTCGATGAAGTCACCCAAAGTGTGCAACGCTTGTTGTACGCGCACATTACCTTCGATCACCACTTCGTAACGGTCGTCTTCATCTTCGAAGCTATCAAGCTTCTCCAGGTTAAGGTCAGCGAAGAACTTTTCTAATTCGTCAAGAACATCCTTCACCATACCAATAACCTTACCTTCCTCCAGTTTCCGCACCAGGTTAGACACGAACCCTTTAGCATTGAGCATGACCCCTTGAGCAAGATCAGTAAGCTCCGACAGAGCCACAATAATCCGAGAGTAAGTCAGGTTCGAATCTTGACTTTCAGCGTAGACTGCCTTGTCTTCAACGATGAAGTCAATGAAAGTGTTGCTGAAGTCGTTACTGGTGTTGGCACACAGTTCAATCACCGACATCAAGAACTCAGGCAGAGTGTTCATGTTACCCGCTTGCAACTCCAGAATCAACGCCGCCTTGATTTCCTGTATCCGCTTGATGTTGTTGTTCAAGAACACATCCAACAAGTGCTTGATCTTGGCGATGTTCAGCAAGATGATCTGGTCGATCTGTTCGTTGACAATTTCATCGTCGTCACCCTTAGACGCCGAGGCGAGAGCTAATTGTTTCAACGCCAGATCCAACGATTCTTGAGCAATTTCAAGATCAACTTCTTTATCTTTAAGTTGTTGTTGCAAGTCCGAGTAGTCCCCCTTGTCCATCAATTGACGCTTCAAAGCACTGATTTCGTCACTGTGCTTCTGTTCCATCGACCGCAAGTGGGTGTATTGCAACTTGCCCAGTTCGGTGTGCTGAGCCTGCAACTCGCGAATTTGAGCTTGTAACTTTTCGATTTCCTGGTCCTTGACCCCCTTGAGACGGTCCAAGTCGAGACGGGCCCGGTCACGTTCCCGGATCAAGTCGGCCAATTCGAGGTTCTTGGCCTTGAGATCCTTCTCATACTTCTCCTTCTTCTGGATCAGTTCTTGTGCCAGGTTGATCTTTTGTTGGATCTTCTTAAACTTCTCTAACAAATTCAAGTGTTCACCACGCAATTGCGAGTACAACTTGGCCAACTTTTCGTACTTCTTGGTCCAGTTGTTAATCTGTTCTTCCAAGTTCTTAACTTGTTCGTCCTTGCTCGCCAATTGCTGAGTAGCATTGTTGTTGAAGTTTTGCAATTCCGTCTCCAACAGCTTCACCCGCAGATCGTATTGCAGCAATAAGTTTTGGTCATTATCGTATTGGTTCTTGAACATCAACAAGTCGTGTTCCAATTCGGAAACACGGTTGGCATTGGACGTTTGCTGTTGTTGAAGCGCGTGTTGTTGTTGCTGAAGAAGCAATTGTTGTTGACGCTGTTGTTCCTCAAACAATTGTTGTTGGCGCAATTGCTCTTGCAATTGTTGTTGACGTTGCAATTCAAGTTGTTGTTGGATGCGTTCCTGCTCTTCCATTTGCGCATTGAGCCACCCGGTTTGTTGCGAGTGCAATTGGTTCACTTCGGGAGGCGGCGATTGCGGCGGCGGCACAGACATCGCTTCCGATACCTGTCTTTGCGGGAGTGCCGGGGCCGGCGGTTCGATGGCTTGGCCCAGATCGGTAACCTTCAAACTGGGAGGGTTGCCAGGAAGTTTAGGGATTTGGATAAGCGACGTCAAAAACTTGATTGAGTGACAGTCAGTGTAGAAATCACGCAAGGCGAAGAACTGCGAGTCGTACCGCTCAAACAACGCTTGCAACAACTCGTCCTCGCCCAATTGCTGATACATCGCCCGCAACATCAGCGTGCAGAACTTGTAGATCCCGTAGGACTCGGCGATAAGCGGCACCAACGCCGACACCTTACACAAGTTGTTCAGCGTCTGGTGGATGGTGGCAAAGATAAGCTTTTGCAAGTCGGCAATGGCGTCTTGCATGTCCATAAGTTGCAAAAGCAGCTCGTAACCTTCGTTAGGGTCATTGACTGCTCGCAACGACACGTACTCCTCGTACTCAAACGTCCCGTTGAAGCCAGGGTTGTTCCGATGGAAATCAAGCTTCTGCAAGATGAACTTATCGTACTGGCTAATGAGGCGGCCGTAGGGAGTACCGCGGGAGGGGAACACTTTGCCCAACAGCGCGATGAAGTCTCGGTTGCGGTAGCCGTCCTTCAACGTGTTGGGGTGGCCTTCCTGCAACACCTTGTGGATCATGATCAATGCCTTAAACAAGGGCACTTCTTCCTGCTGGAGGGGCTGGATCTTGACGGCGTTCCAGAACGCCCGCGAGTTCTTGTGGTCCCAGGTGTAGACGATACATGCCCGCACGTGCTTCCGTTTCGGCGGCACTTCGTCGTTGTTGCACGCCTTCTTGACCGCGTTCTGGAGGTCGACTTCCGCGCGGGACATGACGATTGGCTGGTGAGTAGTGGCTGGGTGTGGGAGGCAACTTGGTAAAGGTGCGGCGATAATCTGTGTGCAGGAGTAATTGCCGCGATAATATGGCAACATCGGCGAACCGATGGGGCTATGTCTACCGGCCTAACATATACGGCGATGACCGGCGATGGCGACGTGAAAAATGGCGCAGGTCATGTCTCGGTGGCGTTCGGTAGCTACTGACGCAGGCCATTACTCGGAGTAGATGCGGGGTCGAAAAGTAAAAAGTAATATTCCCTTGAGTTATGATAAATTAATTAGAAGATCTATGTACTATTGGCTGGGCTTGGAGCGGTAGCTGGTCTTACCGACGTCAAACGGCAAGTACTTGTACTTGACCATGTGCTGGATCTGTTTTCTCATGGTGAACACAAACAAAATGATGAAGTACATCAACAAGATCGGCCAGAACACGGGGACGTCGGTGATGGCAAAGAACGACAACACCAACGACACCACCACCCCGCGGAAGGCGTTGTACCAGAACTTGAACTCGGGCAACCGGCGGATGAACGGGCGGAACTCGGGGTCCTCCGACGACCCTTCGTCGACGCCTTCCTCAATCAGCTCCAGCCGCATTTCCTGCTCGAGGGACGGGTCAAACTTCGGGGTAAGGAAGGCAAGGAACATGTTAAGCAAATAGATGCCGAGGGCGTAGCAGATAATGTACCACCCTTGGGCAAGCACCACTCTCAACAAGAACAACGCCAACAACACGCCGAACGCAGCCCACCGCTGCTTGGTATAAGGGGTGACATCATCAAGAAGCTTCTGATACGTCGTCTTTAGCTGTCGGATCTTGACAAACACCACATTTTCCAGCGACGACTCCATAGTGTGGGATATATGATCGAGACTTTTTTCCGTACGCGTGTTCATATCTCAGGGCGCGCATCGTTGTCGCAAAGGTTCCCAACCCCGAGGGCTGTTCGTAGTGGTACAAAAGCCATATTGCTACTGGTAGAATGAGTGCCAAGACTTAGTGTCGAAAGGAATTTCCGGCGACGGCGCTACTATCTTTTCTCTTCGATGGAACTTGGCAAGGATCCTCGAAGCCACTGCTGACGTCCACGCCTTGGTATGAGCTCGAAACGACGACCGAGACCGAGTCGAGGTGTTCGTCATTGGGCGGGAGAGTCCAGTATCGATACTTGAGTACGAACCAGGCGGGTGCATACCTACTGGGGTTCGAGGGTATTCGAGGTAGTGGGCCATCCCCAGTAAGTGCAGGTACCGGCTGAGAGTACGACAGAGGTCGGGATTAGGCGACGGAGGCGGCTTGTTAACGGCTGCGAGAGGGGTTGACGTGGTGAGTGGCGACTTGGAGACCCCCCTCAACGTAGTTATAGGTTTATCGCCGGGCTGAGACTTGACCGGGGGAACTTCCCATCGATCTAGGATCAACTCCGAGGTATCGTGATGCGGAGACTCCACCGGCGATTCAGGACTAACACTAATTGGGAGAGGATGAGATAGCGGGCGAAGCAGGTAGAGCCAACTGGAGATCACTTGGTTCATTGGTACGTGCCACCCGAGAGGTGGAGCCGTGATTTTGGGTGGGTCATCTTTAGCATTCTTGTCGAGGGCGGCGATAGCCTGTCTCACTTCCTCATGATCATTAAGAAATTTAGCCAAGTAGTGGTTAACTGACGCTTGATTATAATACAAGTACCAAGACTCATACACTGACAATTGAACCGAGCGGCCATCGATGGTAAACGGCGCCCAAATCATGTTTTCGTAGTCAGGACATATCGTGCCTTGAAGTCTTCGTAAGTTGAGCAGAAGTTGTTGAGGCAGCTTAAGGAGAAACTTAGAGAAGGTGGGTAAAGTATCAAATTCAGGGGAGAGGTCAATAAACAGAAGGGAGATGTCTTCATAGTCAGAGCTGGCGACAGTGATGATAGGATCCATCGTGAATGCTGCTTTGCTTGATGCGCGCTACTTAACAATGGGGAATTATGCAGAGAGTGAGGGCCAACGCATATTTATGGATGTTTATGGATTATGGGTTTTGTATTAGTATAATTGAATTAGCTATGCCAAGAATAAGCCGTCGACATCGTGAAATTGTGTCAAATGCCCAATATATCTTTCTGGTTCGCAAAGGGTCAACTGCTCACAATAGGGACACACCATATGCGCGGTATGGGGTAGAAGTAATTGTGGTCCCACTATGGTGGTTGCATGAGGAATCACCCATTGTTCGGGGATTTCAAGCACGTCATTGTACCAGTCAATGATGAGGGTGCCGTTGATACGTTTTCGTTGCAATTCATCGCAATAGACACGACAGTGGCCATATGCCACTTGGGCGAATTTAGCCGCAACAAATTGTATCTGGACCTGTGTCACCTCCAACAATGTCTTATCATTGTTGTCAATTAATGTAACTTGACAATTATTGACTGATACCAAGTGAGTCTCTCGGGTAAGGTTGAACTCCGAGAGATCTCGCGCCACCACGTAATACTGTGGAGTTAGAGGGTGGGGATTATTTGAATCGAATTCCGCCGCTTCGACGGCCACAAGGTTACCATTTACCAGCTCAACTTCACCAGATTGGCGATAGTACACTTGGCAGGACTTGTTAATAGATTCGCCATTAGTGATTGTCGCCTGTCTCAATTGCGTAGGAATATCAACTTCCGCCTCAATTAGCCCTTTAGTAAGTGCTGGTTTGGCTATGATTGTCCTCTTGATTGGTACAAACGGATAGAGCCTTAAATCAATGTCCATGGGCTCGCGTGGGGGAGCATTGTCACAGAACTCACCAAAGCAACTGTCTTCGTAAATGGCTGCAAAATCTTGCATAATCTTGGCATCACCACCGCCTGTCATTCGTATAGTCTAGAGCCATGGTGGGGTGTGAAATATATACCGCTGGATGATTTTGTGTAGCCATGTTCAGTGTAGTGATTTGGCAGAGTACAGTGAAGGTTTAACCAATTTTAAGCGTATCATTTCATGCGTCGTTATGTACTTAGTATCTGTCGTTGTAGCCGCCATCACGTCTGTCGTCGCGACCACCGTAGCCACCGGAGCCACCGTAGTTGTCGCGGCCACCGTAGTTGTCGCGGCCACCGTAGTTGTCACGGCCGCCGCCGTAGTTGTCACGGCCGCCAAAGTCATCACGACCACCGTAGTTGTCGCGACCGCCGCCGGAGCCGCCGTAGTTGTCGCGGCCACTACCGTAGTCGTCACGGCCACCACCGAAGCCACCGGAGCCACCGTAGTTGTCGCGACCACCGCCGTAGTTGTCGCGGCCACCGAAGTCGTCGCGTCTGTCGTCACGTCTGTCGTCACGCTTGTCGTGGTGACCGAAAAGACCGCCTTCGTGGTGTCTGCCTTCGTGTCTGCCTTCATCTCTGCGTTCGTCTCTGCGTTCTTCCCAGGCGTCTTCAGCCTTGTTAGCAGCGAAAGCACCGGCAATGGCACCACCAATCTTACCGAGGGTCAGGTGGTCGCCGGCAAGCTTGCCGCCACCGTAGCCACCGGCGGCACCGCCGACAACGGTGGCCAAGAGGCCTCTGTCGCCGTCTTCACGGTTGTCGTCGCGCGATTGTTCTCTGGGGTTATAGTTGGATTGGTCCCCCGAGTTGTAGAAGTCGTTAGCAGACATGTTTTCCAGTCAATTGAGTTGGTAAAAGGACTGCGTGGCCCCCTGAGTTTTTATAGTGTTTGATCCTCACCCTGCGCGGTGACGTCAAAAAAATGCCGTACTCCTCACAGCGTACCAATCACTCACTGCCAAATACGCCTCGTTCAAGTGCAGTAAGTAGACATGCGGCATATTAGGGTGGTGCTCACGTCATGTGGGAGCACAATGTGGTCCCCACTAAGCCACATGTCATCCGTAGCCGCCACCAGGGAGGCGGTGTGGATGGGGCCACCGTTTATTCTGACTCAGGTGGAATTAAGGGAGGCGGTGCGCGCATGCACTACCTGACACACACATGTGCCCCCCGCCCCCAACCCTTCACTGACCACAACTCCATTGCAGCAGCAACTGCCTAATCGCTCTAAGTGGCGACTATGGTGGTTTGCTAAATTAGGGTATTTCACGTGGATGTTTTTGCACTCTGGTTGCGAAGGAAACTATAATTGAAAACAAAGGAAAAAGAAATGTCGTGGCAGTTCCCGTAATTATACTGTACTCGCATCTTTCGGTCCGGAAACGGAGAATAATACGCGCTGCTTCTTCCGTGTTCGCAGCCATGCGAAAGAACCTTTACTGTCGCTGCCACCGTTACTCCCGTGGCACAGGGGGGGAGAGCGGAGGGCAACAGACAAGAGAGGCATTAAATTAACGTTATGTACACTGGCATCGACCACACTCGACCAGCTTTCTAGTCGGCCTTGTCCGACATCACCTGTTTCACCGGCTCGGTCTCCTGGTAGAGCTTGTGCTGCTGGATATACCGAATCACCGAGTTGGGCAAAAGATACTGCACCAGCATGCCGCGGCGGATAAACAAGCGGATCTTTGTCAGCGAGATGTCGTTGTAAATCAATTGTTTGATCACAAGCACGTTTTTGCGATGCTCGTACATGATGTCGTGGGAAAGCAAAAACGACCGCACGTCCAGTCCGGTACGTTCGACGATCAAACACCCGTACAATCCCAAGATGTGATGAAGGTCTTGGTCGGCCCACACGTCGGGTTCACCCATCAGCTCAATTAAATCGCCACCGGCAAGTAACATGATCTTGACGCCACGGCGTTCGCCCAGGGCGGTCATCACCCCTCCCCGCTTGATATTGATCTCTTCGTTGAAATGGTCCAATACCAACGCAGTACGCGTATACTTTGGTTGTAAACTCTCCCAGGCGTCGACCATAAGCCACAGCAGGGTTCGTTCACAGGCAAGCTCACACATTCGTACTCTATCGGTAGCAGGAGCAAGCCCTTGTTTCTTATAATTCAGCAGTACGGGCGAGTAGTAACCGCCGATACACTCGAATCGCGTTTGTTCCTGGATCGCGTCTAACGCCATCTCGAACATCCGCAAGTGTAAGTAGGTAATTGGTGAAAACAGACCACAGGCTACAATCACTAATGGATGCTTCTTTTCATCAGTTAATGTGGTGGCAAGTCGGTGAGTGGGGAATTGGTATTCCTCGAGAGTTTGCGCCTGGCGCTGGATGCCATGGGGCACTTCTTCGAGGTCGGCGATCTGCAGCCGTTGCACCTGAGTGCTCGGCGGGTACACCGTCTCGTCATCCAGCGACGAGTCCATCAACTCGGTGGCGGCGCGCGGGATCTTGGAGTGGCTGACACGCTCGTTTTTGCCGGCGGCGGTGGGGCGGGGCGGTGGTCCGTCGACGGGTTTACCTAGGTCGGCCAACACGACGGGCTGGATGGGGCGGGTGTTGGGAATCTTCAGCTGGGGTGCTGGCGGCTCGATGGCGGGATTGAGACTGGGCCGCTGGAAGTTGGGGTCGTTCTGGGGGTCCATGGCTAGGCCGCTATCTGGTCGCAATTGGAGACGGCAAACGCTCACTGATACGGTGACACATTTGGCTTTTCGGGTGGTTCTTCAACTGTGTGCAGGAGTGAGGCTCAAGTTTTTTTATTAATGTGCCTGACAAATTGGCCCCCCGCATATTGTCCCACATTGTCATAGGCTCGCGGTGCTAAGCCGTCCGATGAGCGCCGGGCGTTCCGCAACCAGCAGCAGTAAACAAAGGTCGTTGTTGCTGCTAACGGTAAACGTAGGCGAATTTCCACCATCAGATTTTTCGGGAATCGTCAGGGGAAACGTATATGCAGTTGAGCACGGAATTTATTTCGCTAGCATTTGCCTTTTGAGGGGGTGTGGGGCCCGGCGCTATACGGTAACGGTGAAAACGTCCCGCCACGCCTAGGTCATAGCGCATAAGCCAGCATCGAAGTCTCGGTTTGTGGTTTTTCTTTAGTAAATGTCATTTGCTCCGTGGCGTCATAGTGTGGCGGGTGGTAGATGGAGTAAAAAATGGCTCGAAACACGATGATGAATCGCCCCTGAAGTTGGCGACGCTCGTTTAGTAAAGGCGAGGGAAAAAACTAAAAAAATTCGACAACTGTGTGGTTCGAACACACGCGGGCAGAGCCCACTTCCTTAGCAGGGAAGCTCCTTAACCACTCGGACAAGTTGCCCTTTTGGCAAATTTCGAAAACCGCTAAATCATACCATAGATGTAGGAGCGTAATTCGGCCGGTTTTTTCGCCTCATCCTGAGCATTGACGCACGAAACTAAGGTGCCATCGAGCTGATGGTACTATTTGAAGCCCATCGCCTTTGTGTATGAATCAATTGTAGTCGTATTACTGACTCAATGACTTATCTTTTGGACGGTCGCCTAGTTATGTAAATGGTCATAAAAAACCCTTATATTCAATTGGAGCGTCCACCAAAAGCGCACTTTGGAAGACTCATACTGGGTATTGTGGGTAGCAAACATGCTTTGTGGAGTTTTCGATGAACGAAGCTTCAATATGAAAAAGAAAGAGAGGTTTGTGGAAGGTATTCGTGAAGTGTTAATTGCTATGGGTTTCTTTGTCCAAAATGCCAATGAATTGCAGTTTGAATGTTGGCGAAGGCTAGACTCAGCAGCGAAGAATCATAGAAGTGCTCATCACCCTGTGTGACTATACTCGATACGCTCATTACTTTAGCATACATGATTACACATTGTACTTATGGCCTCATTCTATTCGAGCATATTCAATCTAGAATGGCGACAACCGATTCATCATGTTCTAGACTAGGTCCGTTACTTGGCTTTTGATGCCGCTCGCTATAGAATTCCAAAACGATCCAGCGAGATCCACACGAGTCGCGTCTTGATGCAGCTAGCCGAACATGAATAATGGAATGTGGACAAGCAAAAAAAAAAAAAAGACAATCACGACAACTGTGTGGTTCGAACACACGCGGGCAGAGCCCACTTCCTTAGCAGGGAAGCTCCTTAACCACTCGGACAAGTTGCCAGGGGTGCCGTTCCATGAGCGGCAGCCGCATTTGAAGGTAAACATTGCGACGCCCACGCAAAATTTTGAGGCGACTCGCCGGAATGTGGCGCTGCTGCCCGTAGCTGTGTGGACATAGAATCGATGGTGAACTTAGTGGTCAGATTGAAACACACTCCATAGATCAAATAACGGAATTACTTGCAGTTGAACTCATTATGGTGGGTCAATTGTTAGTCATTTTACACTGCCAATTGGGTTCGAAAGTTAACTAGATGAAGGAAATAAAGCATTGACAAAATCTATTATGCTCACAGTTCTCTTTGCCGTCAATTGTGGTGGGGATGATCGATGACTGTTTGCTTCTATCTTGGTCAGTGGTCACCCTCACGTGACCTCGCGATAAACCAACCTCGAAGTTGGAGACCTCTGCAGATTGCCACTCAAAACCAGCCGCCCGATGTCGAGTGGATCCGGCGACTTTCTCACTAAGGGCATTGAGCTCGTACAAAAGGCAATCGATGCCGACACCGCTACCAAGTATGAGGAGGCATACAAACTATACTACAACGGGCTCGACTACTTGATGCTTGCGTTGAAATATGAAAAGAACAATAAGCTGAAGGAGCTTATCAAGCTGAAAATCAATGAGTACCTTAGTCGGGCAGAAAAGTTGAAGGAGCACCTTGAAAAGGGTGGCGAAACTCAAGGCAACACCTCGACGAAAGCGAAAAAGGCAGGCAACGGTGAGGGCGATAATGATGAAGATAATAAGAAATTGCGGGGTGCGCTTGCTGGAGCAATTTTGCTGGAGAAGCCCAATGTCAGTTGGGACGATATTGCTGGGTTAGACCAAGCGAAAGAAGCATTGAAGGAAGCGGTGATCTTGCCGGTCAAGTTCCCGCAATTATTCACTGGTAACCGGAAGCCGACGCTGGGGATTTTGTTGTATGGTCCTCCTGGTACCGGTAAGTCTTACTTGGCTAAGGCCGTGGCCACCGAGGCTAATCTGACGTTCTTTTCGGTGTCGCTGTCGGACTTAGTGTCGAAGTGGATGGGGGAATCGGAACGGTTAGTGAAGCAGTTGTTTACTATGGCGCGGGAAAACAAACCCAGTATTATATTTATCGATGAGGTTGATGCCCTCTGTGGTCCTCGTGGTGAAGGGGAGCTGGAAGCGCTGCGGAGAATCAAGACCGAGTTGCTCGTGCAAATGAACGGGGTCGGTAACGACTCGCTGGGGGTGCTTGTCCTTGGTGCCACCAACATCCCCTGGCAATTGGATGCTGCCGTGAGAAGACGGTTTGAACGGCGTATATACATTGCGTTGCCTGATGCCGAAGCCCGCAAGCGGATGTTTGAGCTTAACATCGGTGACGTCCCTTGTGAGTGCACTGCTCAGGACCTCAAAGTGCTAGCAGAAATGACCGAAGGCTATTCCGGTCACGATATCGCCGTGGTGGTGCGTGATGCCCTCATGCAACCGATCCGTAAGATCCAACAAGCCACTCATTTTAAGCCGGTGGAAGATGGTAAATTGACCCCTTGTTCCCCTGGCGATGAAGGTGCGCGAGAAATGAACTGGATGGAGTTGGAGACCGAACAGTTGAAGGAGCCTGAGCTCACGATCAAGGACTTTATCAAGCTGATCAAGCTGAACCGGCCCACGGTGAACGAGACCGATATTCTGCGGCACGTTGATTTCACCAATGACTTTGGCCAAGAAGGCAACTAAAGCTTTTATAGAGACAAGAGACAAAAGAGAATAAAACGAAGCGATAGAGAAAAATCTTGTAGGTGATTGGAGAATATCGGAATGTCGTGGTCGTTCATTAGTCTAGATTTAGGCGTCGGCCATGGTGACGTCTTCGTCCTTAGGGGCGTCAGTGCCGTCCTGGGTGGCGGCGGCGGCGTCGACCTCTTCCTTGGCGCCTTCAGTGGCACCAGCAGCGCCGCCGGCGTTGTTGTTGTCGTCGTTGTCGTCGTCGTCATCGTCGTCGGTGCGGTTTCTCGCGTTCGACACCAGGTCCAACTTGTCCAACCATTGCTGGACGTTTTCGTCGTCGTAGACGGTAAAGTCGGTTTCCTTACCCACTACAGCCACCGAGGTGTTCTTAAACGTGAGCTCAACATCCTGGGACAACGTATCTCTCAAAGCGTGCAAACCGTGGACAATCAATTGTTCGACGGTGGTGCAGTCTCTGATGGCGTCCAAGTTACGTTCCAAGTAAGTCCGAGCCGCTTGCGAACGGGCACCAATGGAGGCACCGTAGTACTCAAGGACACTACCGGAGGGTAAGAACTCGTACAAGTGCGCCCCCGATTCGTCGTAGCCGGCAACGAGGAGACCCACCCCGTAGGGTCTCGACCCGTACGATTGGGTGTTTTCCTGGGCCTTGTCGGCGATCAGCAACACTGCCTTCAGCGTGGCTAGCGGTCGGTTGAACGCCATCTTTTCTTGCATCGCCAACTTTCTGAGGTAGTTGGAAAGCACCCGGGCGTCGGGGGCAAGCCCGGCGAGGGCAATGCCCATGTGGTCGTCGACTTTAATGATTTTCTTTTGGTAAGAGCCGAGTTCTTCGGCGTTACGCTTGAGGGCGACGAGGACGACGTGGGACTTCAGCGCCAACCCGACCGCCGCCAGCCCTTGCTTGATGGCTTCGAGCGCGTACTCGACCTGGAACAATCTCCCCGTGGGCGAGTACGTCACTGAGTCGTTATCGTAATTGTTCCGGAACATGGTGGGAAACGGGGGACAATCGTCGGCGGGTGTGGGTTATGTGGTGGTGGAGTCCAGTGGCGACTTCGCGGTACTGCAGAGAGGGCCGCCGACACCGATGAGTGGCGAGACCACAAGATCACGACCAATAGCTAAAGGAGAGGCAATTGAGAGTTGGTAAAGGTCGATTAGTGATTGTGTTTTCTCCTTTGCATGCAGTTCAATGTTTTGAGATTTTAGTTAAGGATTCCGTGATCAAGTTATAGTTCTTCGCTCGGTGCGTATTTAGCACCGGTGATATCAGTTAAGGAAAGAAAACCAATTTCAAATGGTGTAGTTTTCGCTCAAAATGAATTATCTCCTTAACTGAAGATTTGTTTTGTCCGATTTAGCTGCCAAAGCGACAGATTCTGGTTTTGACTATCTCATGAGACTATTTTATTGGTCTCTAAAAATGCATGTATTAAGTTCTGTGAAATAAATAGACCGAAGACACTCCACTATTATTGTACTCCGGCAAGCTTTTCCACGACGTACTGGTCATTAGCCCCCACCAACTGCTCAAACGCCAGGTTGCCCAACTCGTTACGCACTTGAAGCACACACTGCTTCAAAAAGTTAGCCAAGTTCGTCAGGGCTACGGGGTCCTTAGCACACACCTCGGTATAGCGCAACTTTTCTCCGTGGGGTTTGATTGACGGATCCAAGTATGCGTAATCATCAATATCCTCATAGGTCAAGTCGTGATTATACGCATCCACCATACCGTCCATAGACTCATTCACTTCTTCGGTGAATATGAAAGTTTTGGCTATCAGCTGGTTGAAGGCATCAGCACACCACCCTTGAGGCTGGCCTTGAGCGATTACCCCATACAGAGTCAACGACAAGAGCCCCATTAAGTTGATTTTACGGTTGCGGGGGTTACCGTTGGAGTTGAAGTATCTGATCCAAACATCGATCACTGTCTGGGGCAGTTGACCCACGTGTTCGACCATCTGGAACCAGAGTTGAGGACACAGCTTCGCCATCCTCAGCATGACGAGGAAGAGCTTATTGGCCATGAATGTCGTCATTGCCTCGTCTGTAGCGTAGGCAAGCATCGCCGCGAACAATCCCAGCAGCATGAGATTTTCGTAGAATTGCTGGTTGCCGTCTAAGCTTACCATGAGGATGTCTAAGAGCGATACCAACACCACATAAGAGTCGTCTCTCATCGTAGCGAGATAGCCGGCCACCACCGCTAGCTGTTCTGCTCCAGCAGGTTCACAGTATAATTTAGGAGCGTACAACGCGTACAGTCTCATAATTGCCAAAATGGTGGGGAGGATCTCAGTGGAGTCGCGCAAACCGGTGACTAAAATGCCAAATAAGTCCACGATTTCCTGGCTGTGACAACTGGTGGGACAGTATGTGAGAATGGCTAGCCACAAGTCGTAGCCGTCCTCGCTTAAGAGGGTATAGTACTCGGTGTTTTCCGAGCAACACATGCGAATGAGGGGGAGAGCGAGCGAGTGGACCTCAGGACTGAGGTCAGACATGGTGATGGTCAAACTGCGGAGAAGCCTGACAATACTCAGTTTGACGATGGGCTCAGTGGCTCCGTCGCCACTGGACTTGATCACGTCCAACACTTTGATAAGCACGCTTTGGTCGACAAGAGGGTTGCACCGTTCAAGAAGACCGCCCAAGGTTTTGTGGATGTACAATTTGGACTCAGTTAGCGACACTGAGTTCAATGTTTGGATGATAGGGTCGATGGTGGTGGGAAAGAAGGGAGTGAAATCGGCTTTGACAAAATCCCAATCTTCGCTGACGGTTCTCAACGTCAGAATTGCTGCTAATCTTACCACCACATCTTCATCAGATAAAAGCGGAGTCAAAAACTTATAGATTTCCACTCTCAGTTCCCTCAGACAACTGACACCGACCCATTCAGAGATGATAAGGCACACGCGGCGTTTGAGCACTTTACCCTCGCTCAGCAGCGTCGCCATGGCTTGTGGAATAAACAAGTCCTTAAGAAGGGTATCAAACAGCACGTGGTTAGCTAATTGCACACTGGAAAGCTGGAAGGTACAGAGGATCAGGTCCTTGGTGAGAATATCACTCTGAGTGGTAAGACCGTTGGAGATCTTATCAATTATGAAGGGAGTCAAAAACTCATCAAAGATCTTGATCAACTCCTGGTAGAAGTTTTCCGCACACGGTCGGATCTGGTACTCCCACAGTTGCGAGAGTTCTTCGTTCCACCATTCTTCGCCATCCAACAGCCAGCGCTCCAAATCCAGCGGGCGAAGGCGAAGATACCAGTTGATGACAATATTACACAAGTGACAAATAGCCTCGGGAGTGAATGTTTCCTGAGTCAACTTAGCCACCAGTGCCTCCACCTCAGCCTTATCATTACGCTGCTTAATCGTAATAGCGCCCTTTTTGTAGATAAACTCAATGCATTTTTTGAGGATAAGGAACCCTTTAAGTGCCAATACCACCCAGAAATCGTTTTCGTCATCACCGTCGCCCAGACCAGCACGGTGAATGTCTTCAGCCTTTTGCTCAAGCAACGATAAGAACGTCGTGATAATCTTCTGTGAGCACGGCAAAAGCATGAAACTGGTGGGGTTATTGCTGAGAATGTTATAGTATAATTTGGTGTAGCAGCGAACGTAGCGTTCGAGTAAATCCAGCGAGTACTTGTCGTGCTCGACCACAAGCCCTTGGAGATGGTCTACCGTCAAACTGACAAACTCACACACGTCTTGATTGGTATGAGGTTGATCAAACCCTTCGGGGATGATGCGGCGAAGGCATTTGAGACACAGATAGCACACTTCCATCAATTTAAGGTCGAGAGAAGCCGCCCAACTGGTGAAGAACTTGGTGTAGAGTTTTACCAAGAGTGTAACCACCGTTGAGGCTTTAGCCTGCATGGCGTGGCGGGACCGGCCGATGCGTACCGTGCTCACCAGTTTGATTACCCGATTGAGAATAATGAGTAAATTGTTGGTGGCGACCATATCGTTCTGATCAAACACTAATTGCTCAAGCAACCGTTCAATATCATCAAATAAAGTAGGCCATTCACTGGGGAAGTCAAACCGAGCAATTTTGGCGACAGCGGTGGCGTTGTGAACACTCAAATTCTGGTTTTGCTCGTCAAGCATGGCAAACAGCCTCAGGCGGATCTGGGCCTTTTCTTCCTTGGAAATTGCATGCTTTTTCAGTGGTCTCCAGTAGCGGTCGACGCCGTTTTTGAAGCAGATCACCGCCAACCACCGGATGGGTGTGGGCGAGTCTCGGTTGATGAACACCTCCTGGAGCAAGTAGTGGTACCCCGGAGCCGTCTCCCACTGCCCCAACTGGGCCTCGGCCTGGCGGTGCAGCTCCAGCCGCTCCGCCTGGCTGGCGTAGCTAAGGGTGGCCACGAGGTTGTCTAGGGTGAGCTCCATCGATGGTCGCATCGCGGTCGCCAGCGGCGATATCGCGTGAGGTGCCCGACCGTGCCGTACTAGTAACTTACATCCGTATAAGAAGTAGGACGTTGCTTAAATGTGACTTGTATGATCTGGAACTGAAAGTTAAATACAGTGATTTATTATTAAAATTACACGTATAGTTTTGAGGCTCTTCAATTTAAATCTATATGAGCGTTGAACATATCAAGTACATAGAGTTATCGTGTGAAAAAGCACGAATTGTGAGTGCAGGTTTGAGATGCTTACTTTACACTATGATTAGATGGTATAGTACTTGATATGTCTCCGACATCTATTAGAATTCATGTCCCTGAATTTGCGATTGCGGAAAGCTACCGATTGACAATATATGAATAAATAAATAAACACATAGATCTCGTATTCCAACTTCTCTAGAAACAAATTTAGGAACATTAATACTACGTGACTGACATCAAATCAGCATTCAAACGTTTCTATTACCGCTTGTAGGGGACTGCGATCCAGGGCTCGGCATGGCCGTCATACCGTCGCTGGTCGACAGAATGGCGCCAGTTGAGCGGCATCATGAGTAATACTCAAAGTGCAGGATGGCTTGTATCGTAAGTTCACACCATTGCCACCAGAAGCGTTAAATTTAAACAAATAAACAGCCTTCATCTAGGTAGTATCGATGGGTGGAGTGGTCGTGAACAGTGGTAGAATTTGAGGTAAGCTAGACTAGTGTATCGAAAGCCTCCTTGGTGTTTATAGCAAAGAGTAGTATTATTAATTTCGTCTATAAGTTCCTAATCATTAATCACCACCGCTTCAGCTCGTCGCCCTCGGCCCACGACCGTTCAGTGTAGCCCAACTCCTGCTTCACGCGAGCCACCGTCGCGGGATCGCCAGTGTTTTTGCCGATGTTATCACTGATCTTGACGGCAGGGTGGCCGTTGGCTTCGCTAAGCTTAATCACAATGTTCATCGGCTTCAGGTTGTCGAAATCGTTAGTGAAATAAGTGCCAATCCCGAACAGTGTGAGCAACCCTAAGGAGTCGGCTTTCTTCTTATACTGCTTGCACTTTTCCACCGTCAATGAGTCTGAGAAACAGATGATTTTAGTGTTTTCAGGGTAGCCAAGCCGCTGGTAGTGGGCGGCGATCTTCTCCGCATAGAGTTCAGGGTCACCCGAGTCTTGTCTCACCCCGGTGTAGTAGTCAGTATAGGGGCGAACAAACAGCTTTAAGAAGTCTTCGGTGCCGAAAGTATCGGTAAGCGCAAGCCCAGCGTAGTTGGGACCAAAAGTCTGAAGCCACAAGTCCATGGCGTTGCGGTTTGCGTGGACGTAGTCCTGAGTAATGGCAGCCACTCCCATGAACCATTCGTGAGCCACAGTACCAATGGGAGCAAGACCAAACTTCTTGGCAAAGTAGACATTGGACGTACCAAGGAAATAGCGGTGTAATTCTTCAGGGGCAGCGGCAGTAGTCTCTTTAAGTGCTTTCACCACAGTTTCCTGGTTTTCAAACAGACGGCGGCGACGAGTACCAAACTCGGAAAACACACACTTACCGTCGAGAAGCTGTTGCCCCTTCTCAGCTGCTCGCTCATACTGGCCATCATAGGTCCATTTAGTATCAACAAACTTGAAGTACGCTTCGCAGATAAGCGCCAACACGGGGATCTCGTAAAGTATAGTATCCTGCCATAACCCTTCAATAGTAAGAGCAAACTCACCATCGGCTCCCTGGTGGTATTTCACCTGTGATTGCGGATCCAATTTGAAAGTTTTGAGATAAGTGAGGTATTCCTGGGGTAACTGCGGGAGTGTTTTGGTCAAGTAGTCAATTTCGTCTTCAGTGAAGCGAAGGTCGCCAAGCTTCAAGATTTCCGCTTTTAACCAAGCAATGGCCTCGTCGTTTAAGTCCATCGCCGGCGTACGGTTGGTGAGGGTGTAGACGACGTGGGCCTCGGGGAAGTGCTGATGCACGGTGGCGTGCATGTACAACTTGTACAAGTCGGTGTCCAATAGCGACGGGATGGTCATAGACGGTATGGCAGGGGTGGTGGCGGGTATGGGAGAGGGTGTGTGTTTTGGTTGGGAGCGTGGTCGGGTCAACGGTAATGCGCCGCGACCTTAAGAACACAGGTGCTGACTCATACACGTGAAGTTAAGCCATAAGGATGACCCCCTCATCAGCGGTAAATGACATCATCGTGGTATTCATAGGTGTCTCGCCTCGAGTGATGGCTCTTAATATTAGGTGGAATGAAGATAAACAGTTTGCTGTGCACTTTCATGGGTATTCATAAAAGTGAAGGTTTTCACAAATTTGTGAAAATCAATGAAGCTGGTTGACTGCAACGAGAACGTGTAAGCTCTTCCAGTGGAAGTTCAGCTTTGCCTGGAAATTATACTCGAAGAGTGTGTCGGATTGAGTAACCGCAACAAATTAAACTAATCCCGAAGACAGGTCTTCCGCCTTTTCGCAATTTCTACTATTGATGAACGTAACATGATTGATTGATGCTTGAATGAACTAAGCTTCATCTTATTCTTACGGCTCCTCTATCAAGGGACACTGGTTTACTAAAACATTTTCATACACCCACGTCTTGGCCAGGCCGTGGTAGCCATATTTACACTTCCCAAATTTCTATAACAATTTGTTTATGCACCATTTCCACGGGCGTTCGACCCTGTCAAACTTGAAGTGGGTGTGGTTGATGTTAGAACCAAACACGAGTACTTGTGCTCAAACATCTCCACGTTGAGAGGCTGGAGACATCGACAAAGAAGGTGCTCGTATTGCTTCATCTGTTGTTGTTGTTCTTCTCCACGGGGTAGTAGTTCAAGCTCCACATTAACCCGCCAAACGTTTGGGTCGCGTTATTAGCGGATCGAAAACTGGTAGTATTCGGATACGCCTCAGGGAACTGCCAAATTTGAACACAAACACCGATATATTTACTGTGTGCCAGTGATGTCACTCATTTTTGACAAACTGACCGAGAAAAGGGCACCAGCGTCGTGGAAACTACCCTAACGACTAAGTAAAAGCTAAAGTAGAAAGGTACCGCAGGTCTGTTGATAGATATCAATTTGTGATTTTTGATGCTCTGTCAATAGGTTTGGTCTACTGCTTAGGAGAAGGTCTAATGCCTCGTAAGTCCCATACTTATATGAGAGATATAACATCCCATTTCACAGCTACTCTCTACGATGATGGCAAAGCTTAGGAGTAAGAGAGATAGCAGATTGCAACACAGAAATTGCCATGTCCAAAGCTATTAATTTTCCGTACTACCAATTTTTTCGGAACAAGCCCCGATTGTCAAGAGCCTCAATACAGTAGGCTAGACCCGTGATTGACACTGTTGGGAAGTAATCGTAGCCATGGCTGCTCTTCCATTAGCGTAAAATGGACCCAGCTGTCTCCTCCATGGCTGTCCTGAACTGATTGCCGAGTACAACATTGCAAAGTGCGCCATGAGGACTGGGGTCACACACCTGCTCCCAGAGAGACCACGAGGATCCCCGGCAGGGTGCACGCCGACTTCAGAGGGACGCAACAAAATGAAGCACTGTCGGAATCGTGTCAGCAACAGCCATGTCAGAGGCAACCGAGCCACCATACTCTAGTAGAGAAGTAGCCATGACCAAGCTTGATATTGTGAGGAGAGGATAGAGGAAAAAGCTCGCTATTTATGCTGTTCGGCAAGACTCTCGGGGGAAAAAGTTCGGGTTGACGACAAAGACTCAAGGGGCAAAGGCGGGCTCAACATTCCGGAGTCGCCATTGTTCGCATTGTCGCCTCGTCAACGGTTCCAATTCCAATTTAGGTGCGTCGTCTAGCTTTCCCTAATCGCGCATCCCCAGATTGTGACCATGGTGGCATTGAAGGCAATGAATGAATCCAATTGAGAATTTCGGTACACAGGCAACGTTGTGGTGGCAAAACATAGTATGGCGTTCCCATGTTCACTAATCGCCAGTCCACCCGAAACCAGTGTTCAAACTCAATTGAGCTTCACTAAAGCTGGATGGCGCCAAGTAAAACAAGTGGTATGTCCCATTGTTGAGGTGGCAACGGCAACAATGCCCTTGTAGAGAGGAATGTCATTGTTGGCGACCAGTTGACGACGCGTCAGGAAATGATGAAGGTCTAGACCCAGGGCGTAAGCTCACTGGGGACCGAGTCACAATGCATTTTTTTGAAGCTCAACTTGTGTCATCAGCAGTCGAAGGCAGCCTCTGAGGCTCGAGTGAAGTTTACCTCAGTGTTTTACAAAATTGAGTGCGAGCAAATTGTGGGGGGATACATCACGTGATCTTAGTTACATCAAACAAGATTTACACTATGTTTCGCAGAGTTGGCAATAGAACAGGCTTCAGGAGCATGTTTAATCTTGTAAAGTTGATCCACTCATTGACTCGTTAGCGTATATCTTTTTATATTCGACTTTCAAAGTCGATTCATTGTATTAGGTACGGCTTGGCTGTCATCGCGAGACTATGTTGGCAGCGATGCTCTCAACGTCGTACAGCTATACTAGCACTACAAAAAAAGGAGGGATTTTTTCGATTATGACCGAGTAGTCAAAATAGATACCTTCAAAGTAACTTCCTGTGCCATCAAATGGTACCAAACAATATGGAGCTGATTGCGAAATTAATCTTGTCGCGCTATGGAACTGCAACTAACAAGAGGAAGCAGATAAACTAACATACCCGTTTTTTCAAGGACATATCTGAAACAGAGTGTGTGAGTTGGTACTACGGAGATCCCTAGGCCTGATATAAACGCTAGTATTAACTAGATAGCCACAGCGTGATTCTTGCATCTGCAATCGATATCCCATCGAGTTTTTATTTGCATGGCTAACCGTTAAGGCTCGCGTGGGGCCTTGCAGCACCGTTGCGTTCGGAGCACCGCGTCGCATCGAAGGTTATCCCCGTTCACACCAGATGCCACCAAAGTACGGATAGCGAGCGATGAAAACGAAAAACTACTACTCTTGGTTGACATTACAGTCTCTACAGATTGTTAGTAGCTGAAGATCGTCTTCTTATTATTGGTTTATGGTATATTTTATCTTGCATGAGTCTCACGTGACTTAGGGTTACAACCTCCATTCGCACTCGCTGCACCATAGTGATCAAAATTTTTCACCAAATTTCTCAACCAAACACAAGATGGCGTTCCACAAGGTGCTCAAGTCCTCGGCCTACCACTCGAGATTCCAAACCCCCTTCCGCAGAAGAAGAGAAGGTAAGACCGACTACTACCAAAGAAAGAGATTGGTCACCCAACACAAGGCCAAGTACAACTCGCCCAAGTACAGATTGGTCGTCAGATTCACCAACAAGGACATCATTGCCCAAATTGTCTCGTCGCAAATCACCGGTGATGTTGTTTTGACCGCTGCCTACGCCCACGAATTGCCCCAATACGGTATCAAGTTCGGTTTGACCAACTGGTCCGCCGCCTACGCCGTCGGTCTTTTGGTTGCCAGAAGAGCCCTCAAGAAGTTGGGCTTGGACGAAACCTACGCTGGTGTCGAAGAAGTCGAAGGTGAATTTGAACTCACCGAAGCCGTTGAAGATGGCCCCAGACCCTTCAAGGTGTTCTTGGACATTGGTTTGCAAAGAACCACCACCGGTGCCAGAGTCTTCGGTGTCCTTAAGGGTGCCTCGGACGGTGGTATCTTCGTCCCCCACTCGCCCAACAGATTCCCCGGTTGGGACATTGAATCGGAAGAATTGGACGCCGAATTGTTGAGAAAGTACATCTTCGGTGGCCACATCGCCGAATACATGGAAGAATTGATGGACGACGATGAAGAAAGATACAAGACTTTGTTCAGAAACTACATCGCTGACGAAATCGAAGCCGATGACATCGAAGAAGTCTACGCCAACGCTCACGAACAAATCAGAGCCAACCCCGAATTCAAGCCCACCGAAAAGAAGTTCACCAAGGAACAATACGCCGCTGAATCGAAGAAGTACCAAAAGAAGAAGCTCACCCGCGAACAAAGAGCCGAAAGAGTCGCCGCCAAGATCGCTGCTTTCAAGGCCGACGAATAAGTACGTTACATATCAGTACACTAATCTTATCTTTACAAGCATTGTAGGAACAAATTCAAACAACCACGAGTTGTTGCCAGTAATACGATAGTCACACATTGAGTTTAATCGGCTCGGCAATGACATTGTGGACGAATTCACGGATGTGCAGACTGTCAGAGGTTACCTAAGCGCGTTATCATAGCGAGAGCCTGGTTCTGGTCGTTTCAGAGAGGCGAAGTCAAAGAGGGCAAATATCCTACAATTAGTATGATGTTATATGTCTCTGTTTGCGTATCACTATTGGGGATGACTCCCCTGTCTCAGATAAATTTCAGCAGCCACTATCTGTGAAGGAGGTGTCTGGTCGTATCCTTGCTGGAGAACAAAATTCTCTGTTGAAGTCGAGCCCGCTCGAGCTCCTGCTGTTCCACAACGTATAGAAGGTGCTTGATGTAGTTAATCAGCTGCGTTAACACCGTTTTTTTAAATAACCGCTTCCTCCCGGTTTTCAATCCTGAAATCAAATGCACGTCAAAAGGCGGCGGGTTCCGCAGCCGTTTGAAATGCTCCACTGCACACTTCAATGGCCTCAACATCAGTGGAGGCACCAACGTCGCGAGCTCGTCGATCCTATTAAGAATGAGGGTACGCCGGTTCCGCTCAATGACGTTATGTTTGGCCTTCTTGTAGCGAGCCTTATCTTCGGCATTAGCGTCCTCCCAGCGCCGTACTCTGGACTTGAGCTTTCTAAGATTGCAATCCGTTTCCTTAGAATCGACTGTCGTCTCGGGACCGATGATTTCCGTCTTCTCAGGCCTGATTTGATGCGATGGTGGGGCTGAAGGTGGAGGAGCTGCAACTAGCGGGGGCGGCATCTGTGCCATGAGCGGTGGCGGTATTGGATGGGTCAGCGTATTTGGTAAGTATCGGAGGGGTGGTGGTGGCTGCTGAGATGACTGTGTGGGTTCTGGAGGTGGAGATGGGGGGCCAGGAAGCGGTCCCTGTATCTGTGGCGGGTAAGTCCGTATTGGGGGCAAGTAGACCGACTGGTGAGAGTGACTCATCTAGTTTTGTATGAAGACTGATTGTTTTTTCGAGATTAACTTTGATGAAATCACTTAGAGATGGGGAAATGCGTTTCTTGAGGAATTGAGTTTGGTAAGTGGTGGGGTTAATCGAGCGAGTGCCGGTTAACAGCCCCTGGCCGGTAGCATCGAGTATGTGCAGGGACATGATCAACCGTCGAGGGAACGCGAGCGCCCACTTACGGGCTCGTCAACGAGAGACAATACATCTTGGAGAGCACCGACGCCACAATCGACTTATAAAGAAAGATGATACGTAGTAGACAGACGCGAATTCCCTATTTCACAAGTTACCATGGGTGACAGCGACAAGATTTCCACATATGGCTGACAGCATGAGGAAAGTCCACGAGAGGGGTCATGCAGCATTCCTGGTGTACGGGATCGTCAAGGCAATTAGAGACAAGTGCAGTCGCCATCAAAGTTTTCTTTGCTGTTTCAACAGTTGCGCCGCCACTGATTCCACCACGATGGCGAGAAAAGTTAAGGCCGTCCTGGCCGATGACGACTCCCGAGTCAACTCGCCTGGTCGGACGATCACCGAGATTTCTGACGTCACGGAGGACGAGGCCATCCCTGTGCTTGCCTCTTCCAGAGCGAGATCCGCGACCCCTCAGGCGGGTGCAGCTAGAAAACTCAGAGGCTCCAGAGCCTACGGTGGTTTGAAGAAGAACAAAGTCATCGAAGACTCTGACGAAAACGACTCCCCCACTGCCTCCACCCCTATGGACAAGTTCATCAATTTTCCCGAGAGAAAGGGTGGCAAAGTTAAGAAACTAGATGAGCACTCGGATAGTGATTCTGATTTCACTCCCATTGAGGGAAACGCCACCAATATTGAAGAAAAGGTCACTACTTCGACCCCAAAGAAACCGAAAACTGGTCTGTTTCCTAGTGAACCTAAGGCTAAGGCATTCCTCAAATTGGTAACTCTGCCCGATACGCTGGAAGAGTCGAAGAGAGAAGCGTGTCTGCAATTAACCGCTTTGATGTTTGAAAAGAATCCCACTCAAGCTTTTGCGACGCCCGTCGCTGGAGCCCTTGTCGATATGATCAACAACAACCCGTCGGTGGGGCTTGCCGATGACTTGTTGGATGTCACGTCTGCCCTCGCACAAAGAAGATCTATTGCCAACGCCCCGGAGGACTCTCGTCAGAAGCTTATCGCATGGGTGATGTGTCAACCGGACCCTCTCAGCCACAAATCGGCGAGCGTGGTTTCTTTACTTTGGGACGTGGTCCCCGACGACGTCAAGGCTACGTTGATGAACCCCGAGGTGGAGGTATCGCCGTTTGTTGCCTACTCGATTGTTCCTCGTCTTTTGGATCACTGGGTCGAATTCTCGTCGCCTATTGGCATTTCACGGATCGTTAAGGTATTAACAGTTGCTCTGATGGAGACGCGGTGGAACTCTGTTGAATTATTGGAACGGTATGGCCACAAAGTGCCTCAACTGCTGTGGTCTGCAATTAAGGATAGCTTGACTGCCGTCACTGCTCCTACCGAGCCTGCAGTTCCTTCCACTACGCCTAAAATAGTTCCAACTGGAGTCGCGGCCGCCCCCCGATCTGGTGAATCCGTCGGTACCATTAGAGTGCAGCCTCCTGTACTCGATGAGTCGGCTCCAAGAGTTACCTCGCTGACCCCTGTGGCAACTCCGCTGGGTCCTACTGCGACAACGCGGAATCCCTTCACTAATATGCTGGCTGATCGTGCGAGCTCACCAATTCCACCTTCACCACTGCCTGAAGAGATTACCTCAAAATCAGATCGTGAGCATATTCAAGATTCGCAACATACTTCTGAGGACAATGCCAAGCTGACGAAGAGATCAGCTTCAGTACAAGATAGTGAATACCAAATCAAGCGTGCCCGTGAAGAGCCCCCAAGAGCATTCCGGGGGTTCTGTGATACAATTACGTCTTCGAAATTTTACTTTATCATGGCTGACCACAGAAAACTTGAAGAGTTGTTTGGACAGTTGTATGGAGGTGACAATGATAATGATGCGATAAGCGATTTGCACTGAGTACGATTATTCCATGTTATGAGTTATAATATCAATTGATACGAAAATTTGAAACCAAAGGGAATTCTCTTCGTGTAGATTGTGTGAGCTCTTGGAGTCTTTATCGAGCCAAATAGGCACGCTTTAAGACAATAGTAAGAGGTAGCCACTCTTAGAGCACAGATTTTCACTCATTGCTAAAATTTTCAATTCTCACTGATGTGAGAAAACCTCAAAGTGGTGTTAGTCTAAATCCCTGTGAAAAAAAATATGAGGGGGTTTATCAATATCTTCTTAGCAATACCTTGGGTTTGTTGCGTGGTTTGTCACATCTAGTGAGCCCTGGAAACTGCTTGTGATGTCCGCAGCAGTGTTAACAAAGGTGTAACGTCTCGTCTAATGAGAACATCCGTATGCAGGTGCATTATGTTAAATGCAGAACACAGAAAAATTAGCTCTACTATAAGTTTACATAAAGCTTACCTAATTACAATTAACACAAACAAATATTTGAATGTTTTTGTTTAGTTTGACGTTTTTTCTGGAGGCTAGCACGATCACTACCATATATATTATACCTACAGTTTGTATGCCTGCACATAAGAGATACGTCTGCATATTATATGTACAGTTTCACCGGAGGTTTTCTCCACGTATATTACACTCTAGAAGAATTTAAACCCCGCCACTGTAATGTGGGCGTTTCAAATGATATTTCCAACAGCAAATAGAATTTATCTGAATTTTTTAGTAAAAAACTACAAAATGTAATATAAAATCAGGAAAATTCGATAAAATCAAACTCTTCGCTCTATAAAATTTTTTGACTCCCGAAGTATAGCAGATAAATATTTGGGCGAATTTAAATGAGATTTGAAATAGTTTAAATATTGTTAGAAAATCAACTGGGAAAAAGTTGATAAAATCATTCTCTTTGCTCTACAAGCATCCTTGGTACCTGAAGTATAGCTGATGCTTATCTGGAGTAGTTTACTTAAAGATTGGAGTACATTAAGCAAAGTTACTCTATGTAGATTACCTGCAGGATATATTGTGTACATGTCCAATCTTATTTCACCGTCAAGATTGTAATATATTCTACTACTAATAACGTGACGTTTATGGGGCTGATTGGGAAGATCAAACAATTCCTGGGCGTTGCTTGTAGTCCGAAAAAAAAAGCTTTTTTGCGAGAAAAAAAAATCAAAAAAAAAAAAAAAAATTAACTTTCTTCTATGCAGGATTGATCTGCGTATGCAGAATTGACTTTGAAGAGACATTAGTTGACTATAGTTTGCGATCACGCTCGCTAGAGTACAATGCCAATTTATGAAATACCAGCTTCTTGTATTAGTTGAAAGCTCAATATAGCCAAAGGCACAGACACAACTTGTATTGAGAGTTAGAATATCAGCACTTGGTGCTTAATACGATGTAACTTAACAATCGCTAGTTCGAGAACGCTGTACTTCTTGCTGATTTCATGGAGGTAATTTTTTGCGTGATTTGAAAATGCTATCAGAAGTGCCCCCAGAGCCAGCGTATTGGTGATGATTGATATGCCTTGGAGCTATAACTTTGAGTCTTAATCGTGTGTTGCAGGAGAAGAACATCAACAATAAGGGATCTTTCTATTTTTGTAATGGGTATATGTAATTTTATATGTACATCATAATGCTATTATCGGTTGGAGCGGACCCGGGCAGCTTCATTTAACAACTTGTCGTAAACTTCATCCACCTGGGCCGGGTGTGGGTGGGCCTCCTGCTTCCCCTCCATTGAGTTGATCAGGGTATCGTCGTCGTTATCGTCATGTTGATCGTCGACTTTGATGCGGTCGATCAAGTCCGTCACCAGCTCGATACCAGAGCCAGCCATCACCGCGTCTCTCAACTGAGGACCCAGGGGGATCGACAGTAAGATTGGCACCTTCAGTTTAAGCTCCTCGCTTTGTCGTTTGACCCCCAACTTGTGTGCTTCACCTTCTTCAACTTCCTGTTCCCTGGCGTGAACCAGAGTCAGCGAGGCTGACCGCATAAGTACTGGACGCCCCGTCTCGTTATCAATAGTGAGACTCTGGCCATTAGCGGTATCCAGCACCATGTAGTGTGGTTGGAGCTGGTCAGGGGACCCCGTGGCGCCGGCAGCTCCTGCGTGAAGCCCTTGGCGAGGACCGGTGATCGGCCCAGTAGTCATCAATTCGTTAGTCAGTGAGTGCATGGTAATCACTGGCGGCGGCAAAGAATGCTGTTGGCGGTTAGTTGACGATTGCGCCAAAGCGGTGGAGATCAGCTGGGCGTTAGTAGTCATGCCCAATTGAGCCAAGTCAACTGCAGAACCCAGTGGTGTCACTGAGTTCAGCAAGAGCCCGTGACTGGAAGCGTATTCCTCAAACAAGTTGATCACCTTCTCAAGTGACAGATCGAGAAGACAGAGACGTAAGAGAGTTTCTTTAGACTCAATCAGCAATGTGCCCGCCTGTCTCTTAGAGAAGAGCTTGTCGATCTGGGTATGGATGTCGAGTCTGATCGCTCTCGTGCGTTTGATGAGGGTATTGGTAAGCATCTTTTGCACCTTAGGATCTTCGTCGCGGTGATCCAGCTCGGCCTCGTTCATCAAACGTTCCACCAGCTCCATGAGCGTCAGCCCGTCGAAGATGAGCTCCTCGTCGCCGTCGTGCAACTCGGCGTTGACGGTACGGTCCAAGTTACGCATCAAGTAGAAGGCGATCTTCTGCGCCAAGTCGTCGGGGACGGAGTCGGCATCCATTTCGAGTGTGTGCAAAGTTCTCAGCGTCTTCACCGCTTGGTAAAGGGAGAAGGCTGCCTCGTGGTTGATCTTGCTGTTGCCCAAGAACAGGACGTACACAAGCATGGGGATCTTGGGTAAGATGGCGGCGATGGCACTGATGCCTCGCGACGTCAAATCGTTCAAATCGAAGTGGATACGACGAAGCGAGGGGAATTGAGGTAAAAGACGCTCAAGCTGACCGATGATCTTGGGGAACACCTGAGGAATCAGCGATAAGTCGAGGAAGCGGAGGGTGGTGACGTGGGCGAGAGCCTTGAGGAAGTCTGCGGTGGCATCAGCATCATGAAGCTGAGTCTGGTTAAGCAGGAAAAACACGAGTTGCGTTTTACCCGTCAAAAATGCCTGTTGCAACGGGATCAACTGGCCCTGGCTCATATCGTTGCCAGCGACGTCTACGCCAATACAGTGGCAGTTAGGGTCCACCATCCACTGAGCGATAACTTCACACTTAGCAACATTGAGGTCGGTGCCGGCAATCCCCAACCGATAAGTGTTAAGAGATACGGCTTTGCGAATCAAGTTGGTGAACGTGGCGTCGTCTAGCTTACACCCGTTCATCACCAACTCCTCGATGCCGCCCCGAACTTCAATCGCCCGTGTAAACAACCCCCAGTCCATGTTTTTACGCAAGCACTGCTCCTTGGTGTCGCTTTTGATCTTCTGCTGCGAAATGTCCAATTTCTTCACCGTGAGGTTGCGCAGCATAAACTTACACAACAACTGCCACCCGTCAGGGGAGATGGCCACGTTGCGCAACGAGAGCTTCTCCACCGACTTGTTGTTGACAAGCAGGGCCAAGAAGTGTTTGAGCATCTCCGTGGTCATAGTGACGTTGTCGAAGATGACGGTGTTAATCGGGGTGATGGCGATGAAGTCGGCAAACAGCAACACGTCAATTAACGTCGGCTTCGGGTTGAGCATTTTGAGCACTTGCAACGGCGCCAGCTTCCCCTTAAGCTGTTTCAACGTCGCCGGAATCGGAAGGATCTCTCTCAAATGACAACATCTCGTGTAGATCGTCTCCAACAGCAAGTCGTTGTCGTTGACGGTGCCGTCGCCGCTGTCGTCGTCGTGGTCGCCGGCCAAGATCTCGTCGCCAAAGTGCAGTTCGTGCACGTGCATCGGCTTTTCGATCTCCAATCTATGGGCTTTCCCGTCGACCCGTTCATCGTCTTCCAGCTCCAGTGGGTGAGAAGTGGTGGCCAGGTCGTCGTCGCGGTGGAGCCAGCCTCGTTTACCCATTCCTTGCACTTCAGCGGCGAGCCTTTTGGCGGCGATATGGGCGTCGTGGGCGTGTTTGTCCGCCTCGGCGATAGCGCGGCGCTGGGAGTCGATCGCCAACTGGAGTTCCCGATCCAGGTAGTGCGGCTCCTGGGCCAACTTGCCGCCGTCGGAAAGGGAGATCCCCATCGAGAGGCGTGGCGGCGGCGCGACGAGGTCCTCGGGGATAAGCACGTTCCCCTTGCGTGGGCGTCGCAGCGGGATCTGCTGTTGCGGGTCGTAGGCGAGCTTGTCGATGGCGAACACCACACGCTCGAGGCGGATGCCGTGGAGCTCGCGCAACGGCATTTCTTCTCGATGAGGGTTCTTGTTAAGCACCACCCGGGGGGCGGCGGCCTTAGCCAGCAGCAGCAGCAGCAGCAGCAACGCGCTGAGCACCAGCGACCCGCGCCGGCGCGTGGGGGCGGGGGCGCCGACGCCGGCGGGGAACTTGTCAAGGTGGCTGAGCTCCTGCGAGCTCACCAGCCCCCGCCGCGCCAGCATCAGCGCCAACGGCGCCTCGTGCACCACCAGCCCCGGCGCCAGGTACAGCGACCCCGCCTTAAGCTTGGACGAGATCAGCAGGAAAAGCAGGCGCTTCAGCCCCAGGTTCGAGCGCAGCACCAGGTTCAGCCGCAGCACCAGCGGCGACAGCGGCAGCGACAGCGCCTTGTCCGCCAGCAGGTGGCTGTGGATATGGGAAAGCAGCGCCAAGTTTACGGAGCCGCGGCGCTTGGGTGCGTCGGTGGGCGCCGGAGGCGTCGGCGCCAGCGCCGGCGCCTGGGTAGTGGACGCTGACGGCGCCGCCGTCGCCAGTGCCAGCAGCAGCGACCGCAGCCGCCCGAACTTGAACATGTCGAACTTTGACGTCTTCTCCGCTGGCTTGGCGGTGGGCGGCAGCGACGACAGCGGGACGTGGGACGTTGTCGTCAGCAGCGCAAGCGGCGCCAGCGGCACCTCGGCCGTGGCTGGCGCTGTGGGCGCTGACCGCGGCGATGGCGGCAGCGGCGACGTAGTTTTGGCGTTGGAGGCGCCGGGCGCCGCCAGCGCCGGCGCCGTCTTCTTGTCGGAGCGCTTGTTGCGCTTGTGTTTACCGCGGAACAACCAGTCGACATCGCCGTTGGACACGCCGTCCAGCGGGGCGGTGGCCCCGGGCGGTGGCGGCGAAGAGCGGTGCATCAATGGGACCAGCAGCACGGTATCAGGTGACGTAGCAGGTGTGTCGGGTGTGTGGCTGGTGGGGCGGGGATTTTCGTGGTCAAAGCCAATCTCCTTTAAAGCGCGCTCGCAGCTCACTGGTGAGGGCAAACGTCAACTTTTTTGTAGCCCCGCGGGGTCGGCTGCTCGCTATGCGAAAGCGACCGATGATGTAATCGACCCAACCGCAGGCACAGCGATCGGAGACCAAAAAAAAAAAAACACTGCGCTTGCAACCACACAGACCCCGATTGGATAAGCCTCCGCTGTCGGCCAAGTCCGATACACTCTGATTCTGCGTTTAAAGATAAAGGTCTAATGGTGAGAGGCTATTATTAAAGGCTTATTGCGAGATAGGGGGCGGGTCGTGGCTGATACCAAACGTGGCTAGTGGCGACACAGAGTACAGTGGTCACCAGTGCGGGTGGGGCGACGGAGGAGACGAAATAGGGGAGCAGGGGAGGGGACACTTCGGCGTTTAGCTGGCAAAGTGTATTTTTTTTTGGCGTGATTTAAGGTAAAACTGTGTGTGTGTACGCAGAGTGGTGTGAGGCTTTTGCGGCGCCCACTACATCGGCGCCAATATCGGCGCCCAACCATCGGCGCTGCTCGAGCGCCCTACCGCCGATGCGCCCAGCGCTTTTTCAGGCGCCGCGCCTCTCGCTCGGAGTGTGTGTTTGGTCGGTAGGGCTTACACTTTTTGTTAGTGCGCCCAGTGCGCCGCCTAAGTCGGCTTAGCGCGCTTTAGTGGCGGCATCGCCGTCGCCGGCGCTGTTACCGGCGCCATTTCGGAGAGCGCTTTTTCGGAGAGAGCCATTTCGCTTTTGTGTCGCCATATAGATCCAAACACATTAAGTTGGTATAGGCCTTGTCTCAGGGTATTATGAGCCAGGGCCCCGTAGCCAAAAATGTTATGGATGTCAAAGGAGCACGCCAAATGTAATATAGAGGCTCATCGCAGGGGGGGGCGCCGTTTAGGGCATCGCAGTATGGAGGGCGCGGCGGGCTGCCATTGGACCATTTCGCTAGCGAGTAATCGCAACGATCTTATTTGTCCCTCCCCACAGATTTTTTTTCCGTAAAGCGGCGCGCGCCGAAAACCCCGAATTCGACGAAATTTAAGTGGCCAAGGGCGCTAATGGCGCAAAACGGCGCGAATAGCGCTAACAGCTATTGAGTAGCTGCTTAGGTAAATAGCTGGAGATATAGCACCTGCTTTTTTCAGCTAATTAGCAAAAAACTGGTGTGATTGCTATTAGAGAAAGAAATTTCATGAATGTCTTGTCACGTGCCGTCTCACGTGTCTGAAATTATCAGCGCTACTTATAATCAACAGAAGCCCTTGTCTAATTAATCTGAATAGGTCACGACACGTCGCGGTGTGAGATCACCAGACATCAACTGTTGATTATGCAGACAGTGTGTGTATCAGTTTTATCGGTGGATGTATCAGGGTGATCACCTGGGGAATGTATGAAACCCAGTCATCAAGGGGGGTAATGAACAGTGGTAATTGGGTATTAACATCCTGCATCTCCCCCCAGGCCGGCCCGATCCGAAAGGTGTCACTTGTGAGAGTGGCCCATCTCGGTGCCGAATTTGGGGGTCACTCTATTACGTAAGCGTAGTTGCCCCCCAAACTGATGATTAATGACACATGCTTCTCGCCCACGCTACCAGGCGAGGCGCTAGCAGAAGTTGCCCTTACCGTTGAAACGCTGAAACATAACCATCAGGGGCTATCTGAAACAAATAGGAGGTTTATAGGACGAGGGGATATAGGGGAATTCAAAAGGGGGGTTTTAAAAAGCTATGTCCGTTCCGACTCCGTAGCTCGGCAATTGCCCCGATTAGATGTGGGTGGCCTCCGTGGGCCAGGGTCGAGCAAGGTCGTGCGCGACACACGGACTTACGTAGAAAGAAAAAAAGTGCACCTATTTAATACACACCATCCACCCCTACCGCAGTATATATACATTCGGACCCCCCCGCACCCTCATAAAACCACCCGCACCTATGTTTAAACAATCAGTCCGTCAAGGTTTGCGCATGGCCCTGGTGGCCGCCCGCGCCCCGGCGATGGCCGCCGCCGCCCCTACCACCCGGCGGGCGTTCCCCGTGGTCGCTACCCAAGTCAGAGCCACCAGAAGCTACCACGATAAGGTGTTGGACCACTACGCCAACCCGAGAAATGTCGGTACTTTGAACAAGAACGACGCCGATGTCGGCACCGGGCTTGTCGGTGCCCCCGCCTGTGGCGATGTGATGAGATTACAACTCAAGATCGACGAAGACACCGGCATCATCAAGGACGTCAAGTTCAAGACTTTCGGCTGTGGCTCGGCCATTGCCCTGTCGCTGTATGTCACCGAATTGGTCAAGGGCAAGACCGTCGACGAGGCGTTGAAGATCAAGAACACCGTCATCGCCAAGGAGTTGTCGCTTCCCCCCGTGAAGTTGCACTGCTCGATGCTCGCTGAGGACGCCATCAAGGCCGCCGTCAAGGACTACCGGTCCAAGAGAGCCGCGGCCAAGCCCACCCTCGGCCCCGACGCCGTCAAGACTCAACCTCAAGCCACCGCCTAGGTCGGTGCGGCAACGTCTTCTGGGAGGTTATAATTGGTGCTTTGGTTTTTTCACTTCGGTAATGTATATATCGTAACATGAATGGATAGGGAAAGTTGTATGGAAAAGTTAGTGAGTCAAGCTAACAAATCAAACAGAACCACGACCATCAGCACGACCATTGTCACAACAAATCCATTACCATCATCATGAATAATCTCTGAAGTCTGTGTGTGTATACCCAGGAATTGGCGATGCTTTATAGTTTGCTGGCGGGTTACCGTGGTCGCACCCCATGACACAGAATGCCACAAAATGACCCCCTTGTCGCTCCGAAATCACGCCACTTCCACAGATGAGGAAACACCCATGCACACACGCCCTCAAACCGTTGCAGACAAGACTGCACACCCACTAGCCAAGCTTAGTTTCAACTGCTGGCATTATATATACACTCAAAATTCCTCCCCCAAATAGTGAAATCTCGCTAGCCTTATTTATATATATGGGGTCCGCGAGCGCGGTTGTCATATTTTAATAATCATGAGTTTGTCTAACCACTAAGGTAGACGCAAATTAAGACGTGAATAAACTGCTACTGGTTCCTGTGAGTTGCTTATCTCTAATATGTGTTTGTCTAATTAAGTGGGGGATCGTCTCTAAATAAAGTGTGTCTCTCTGGGTGGAAAAAATTAAAGCCAATCATGGCGGGGACAAACGTCATCAGTCACCACAATGCGGCTTTGGCGTACTTAGTGAATGATCTCGCCATAAACCCGGCCTTATCTAACAAGTGGAACCGGTCTTTGAAGCCCATAACGGCGACGGCGGCGAGGGTGGTGACGGTACCGATGACGGCGTACCCAGCTTTCTTCCACAGCAAACTGTACTTGTGGTTAAACCGCAACCACCCGCTCACCAGGTGGTATGCCATCGTCCACACAAGCGCTAGGAGAAGCCACGTGTTGATCGTGTTGCCCCACTTGCCCCACCGCGACACGTTGAGGTAGTAGCTGATGTAGTCGAGCGACACGAGCGCCAGGTCGCCGTCGACCAGCGCTGGAAGCAAGCGGAACTTCGCCACGTGGTAGAGCGCTAGCGGCAAGAGCACGTACCCCAGAAACGCAAGCGGTGAAAGTCCGGGGACGTAGCGGGAAATAATTGAGCGGCGGTAGCCCATGCCTAAAAGCGCTGTGAGGCCGCCAAGACCAATGTCGCCGCTGGTCTCATCTTTAACCACATCAGGTGACGGGTGTCGCGGCTGAGGATGGGCCTTTTTCCGTTTAAACTGCTGGCGGATGATTCTGATGGCCACCCCCAGGATAACGTGGACTAACGCGGCTCCCACCACGCCGATGGCCTCGTAGCCGGGGATGTGGTGGTACACGGCCCGGGCCATCTCAAACACTTCTTGCTTGGCCTGAGGCAGGGCCACGAATTCGGGTAGACTAGGCACCACGATCACCAGACACGCGTGGATGCCGAGGAACACGCCAAACGTGTACGCCAGGTACTTCTGCACCGCTGCGAGTGGCGTGAGCACCTTGCGGAGCTTATCCTTGGTGTTGTGCTGGGCCGCCTGTTTCGGCTCCAGCTCGATGTCGACGGGGAACGGCGCCACCGGGGTCAATTCCGTCATGGCGGTGGGGGGTGGTAGAGGTAAAGTTGCGACGGCTGCAAACGGTCACCCGCACCCGATATAACCGAGCCCTCGTATATTTGGGGCGAGCAGGACTAGTGAAGCGACCAGTAGTGAGACAAGTCTCACCTGATTGGACGTAGGAGACTATAATACCAAAGTGATATAAATAGTGTCTGCTCCGATAAATATTCTTGACGACACCGCCGATGATGACTTTTTGTTAGGATCTACGATGACGTCGTATCAATTGAATTTAACTACAGCTTGTTAGCTTATGGCAACCCACATAAGTCAAGCAATTCAGTCTAATTTCTGGACCTAACTAAATTGGTCTGAAGCTCTTGTTGGCGTGCGGTCATGGCTCTTTTTCTTATGCTTTAGATCGATCCAATTGTGCGACTACATGAGAATTGAAATCATCAGTCACGTGATTCAGTTTCATTCTAACAGACGATACCTGTGTTATGATTATCATTACCATTTCTTTCAAAATTCCAATTTTCCCAGATGATTTCCCTGCCTTGTTGTTACCGTTGTGAGCGGCGCAATCACGCGCGGAAAAAGTAGCGACACCTATCACCCTTCTCCCATCCACCCCTCCCACTTTGATGCTGTTCGCTCAATTGCGGAGCCAGGCGCTCTCGCTCGAGAAGCAGACGGAACTGCTTCTTTCCAAGTACTCGAAGTTCCAGGCCGACGTCGGCGAGTCCACCGGCGAGAGCGCCGACGAGGCCGCCACCAAGCTCCAGCTCCACGACGTGTTGGCGAAGCGCGACGAGGTGGTGGCGCGCCTCGCCGTCGTCAGCGACAGCGAGCTGGTGCTGACCTCAAAGCTCCAGCAGCTCACCCGCCACCGTGAAGTACTTGCCGACCACCGCCGCCTGGCCCAGCGCATCGAGCTGGCGCTCCAAGAACACCGCCAGCGCAACAACCTCATGTTTCTGGTGCACCTGGGGCTCGAGGCGCACCGCCAGCGCAACGCCCAGGACCGCGAGGGGCTCAACGCCACCGACTACGCCCTCGACGAGCGCCAGCGCGTCGACGGCGCCAACTCGCTCGCCGACCGCTTGCTCCAGCTGGCGTACGAGACGAGGGAAGAGCTTTGGGCCCAGCGCCAGTACTTACAGAGCGCCCAGCAGCGGATGATGGGGACGTTGGCGCTGGTGCCCGGGATCAACACGTTGATCCTGAAGATCGGCACCCGCCGCAAGCGCGACACCATTATCTTGGCGACGGTGATTGCCGTGTGCATCATCTTATTAGTGTGGCTTTAGGTTTGTACTGTTTGGCGGAATTCTCGCCTGCTGCTGCCGCCGCCTGCCACCCGCACATGAATCATCACCTGTTGGTGCAGTGCAGCACCTGCGACAGCGGCCCCCGCCGGTGATGGTATAAAGCACCGGCCCCGCGGCCATCCCCCGCCTGCTTTTCTCTGCTAGTTCCCTCCCCATGGCCGACGATGACTACGAAGCCCGGGTCACCCAGCTCCGGCTAGAGCGGCTCAACAAGTTCAACGACGACATGGAGCGCGAGCTCAGCACCGTGCGGGTGCCGGCGCTGGCGGCGTGCAAGAAGGTGGTCGAGCACGTCAAGACCACCCCCGACTACCTTAACGAGCGCCAGTGGCAGTTGGCGGGGCCCCGCAACACCTACCTCGGGTTCCGCTCGCAACGGCACGCGAAGCGCAGCGGCGGCGGCTGCGTCATCTCCTGATGGTTTATACATATACATACATGCACAGTTTATTTTCGCACTCGCACCACCACCACCAGGTCCAAAGATGGTATATACTACTCTGGATAGGGCTAGCCCTGCTGGCGGCCTTCGTTCTCCACCTTCATCTCCTTCAAATGGCCGATGGTCTCGCCATTTAACGTTTCGTCAGCCTCTTCTTCATCAGCACCGCACCCACAATCATAGTCTTCAAGAATGGTGGTACAGTCGTAGTCAGGCTTGCCCAACCGCTGGTTGACCAAGTTGTGGACGTGGCACCCCCAGAGGGCCGCGGTCTTGCGAGACGACACTTGCGGCGGGTACAGCTCCAAGAGCTTTTGGAAGTGGCGGGCACAGTCGCCGCACGGGTACACTTTGGCGAACAAGTGGATGTACTGCTTCAACGTCGCCTGTTCTTGCGTGGTGGGCTTATCTGAGTAGCGGGCCAAGATGGTGTGGAGCAACCGCCACCCGGCGTTGCCTAGTTGCGCCTTGAGAGTCTCGTTGGCCATCTTGGGCATGAAGGGAGTCTCGGCGAACTCGTCGCTCACCGAGCCAAGCGGCTCGACAATGGGAGCCTGCTGAAGCTCATCCTTAACGAGCTCCTTCACTTTGGCCGGTTGCTGGGCCGCTGGCGGCGACTGAGCCACCGGCATCTTCCCCACGAGGGGGACGCTATCACCAAGCAGCGACCCGCCGCGGGAGCCCGACATGAACACCACCAAGCTCACGATGACCAAGAGCACCATGGTGCCGAACACCGGCTTTCGTATCGTCAACATATTGTGTGGGAGATTTGTTTGTGAGTTGACTGTGTGTGGGGGGGTTAAGGCTGAGGGGGGTGTGCGGAATGAGGTATACGTGGGGCGATTGCGAGATACGACCGAAAATCTGCTCTTTAGGGAAATGAGTCGAGAAGGAGGAAATGTGTAGTGTGAAAATTAAACAGGATAATAATATGGTAGTTCTATGAATTTGAATTATCAAATATTTTAGAATGTCTAACTCGAACTTGGTAGATAGCGCGTTGTCTGACTTTTGTCGGATTTACTCACTAATTGTAAAATATTAGGGGGATCGTCAGCCGTGCTCAAATTAAATAGGAAGTTCGAATCTCGTTAGAATTGTCGTAACATAATCACGACAAAGACACTACAACAAACCACGATATTGTAACCCAGGTTATGCAGCCAATCTCTTCGAAAATAATCATACTTAAGTCGAGTTAATCACTTTGATCAATTGAAATTCTACAATTAGCTATCGAGCGTAGGCATGCGAGACAATTCAATGGTTTTGGATTGAGAGTACATTCATCACAGCAGTTTACTTCATTCGACGTCTACACCCAAACCGATGTTGGATTGAAGTAGGGAGTGGAACATAAGACAGTTTTATTATAGATTTTTTCGTTTTCACATCAGCATTCTATCCCATGATCAATGACAATTATTCTAATTTCTATGATACCCTTGATATCAGAAAATTATACTCTACCTTGTTTTCTCATTTCTTTACTCATTTTATTGATTCTGATGTATATGAAGCTAGTTAGTCTTTTTCGGGTTGGTGGCGGCTTGCAACACCCCTGGCAACGGCTGGGAGCCGACGCTGTACATCAATTTCCCCCCAGCAACCAAGAACGCCAACAACACGATCCCCGTCCACAAAAACATGTTGGCCTCGCTCAGCACGTCTTTCTTCAGACAATCGGCGCCGGCCCATTTGGTGGTCTTTTGCTTCTCCTTGTCAAACAGGGGTTCACAGGCACACCGCCACTTGTCCTGGAAGTTGACACACTTGCCGTGGCCCAGACAGTCGCCGGTGGTCTCCTTACACTTCTCCTCGGAGTCGAACCCGAGCTTGCCGCGCTTTTCCACCTGGGCAAACACGTCCGCTACTTGCTGCGAGCGCTTGCCGAACCGCACGGGGTCGGCGCCGGTGACGTCGTCGTCGCTGACGATGACGGTGACGTCATAGTCGTCGCCAAATTGCAGAATAGCTTGGGAAATGATATCGCGAGCGTACTCCACAGTGGGGGCGCCGTGGCCCAATTTGTTGGCCAACGAGTTGATCAGCCCCACGTCCATCACCACCACGCCGGCGTCGGCGATGGGGAGGCGCCGGAGGTGCAATAACTGCGCGAGCTCGGTCATGAAGAGCTTGTCGGTGATCACGCGCGAGCGCAGGCCGTCGCTGGCAAGTACCTGTTGGTGGTCATCGTTGACGAACTGGCGCCAGATCGCCGCCAACTGGGAGTCGAACAGCGAGAAGTGGTTCACCACCAGTTGGGGGTGATCCAGAGCATCGGAATAAATGGTGATTTCTTCGGTCAAGTGGTGGGCACTGTGGGTCGCCTTTAAGTCGCGGCGCACTTGCTGGGCGACGTCGTCGTCACTGGTGACCAACAACGGCGCCGCTGCAAACAGCTCGGGCGCCGCCACCCCACTCACCAGCACCACCAATTGGTTCAGGGCACGAGGGTAGTGGTGAGCATTGATAAACTGGAGGGCTTGGTCGCCGAGGGCGCCGTCGCCAAGGGCCACGACCAGCGACGCCCCGAACTTGTCACTGAGATACGCCCGCGCCACGTGCGCCGCCACCGGCGCCGCCAGCGCGTCGCTGCCCCCGTCTCGGGCAAGCTCAAACACCGCGGTCTTGGCCACTGCCGGTGCCAACACCGCCGCCACTGCGAGCAACAATTGCATTTGGTGGATATATGAGTGTGTGGTCGAATGAATTGAATTTCGTGCGACTTAGGGTGGGAGTCGAAAAATCACCGGAAGTGTGTCTTGCCATAGTGAGTGTCGCGCAAAACGTGACCCTCGGATATACCTCGAATTTGTAGATTCACAGGAATACTGGTATACAATTAGGTTTCCGCAGTTACAATGTCTACCACCATCTCTACTCAAGATCGTTTATGTCGTAGACTGCCTTGGCGCTACGCCACCGCCACCTGTTTGCGCATTCGCAACCACTAAGGTGTCCATTCTACAGCGACAGGCCGACGGCACAACCACAACCGATGCGGCTACCTTAAAGGTTACCACGGTATTATTACTCGGGGCCGCTTCCCCATGTAGCGTTTTTAGTTTTGTCCAATGCTTGTTGCTTTGCCCCAGGAGATCGCCTACTGGATATGCCAGTGTCTCGACGAACCGAGTCTCTGTAAGCTCTATTTGGGGTTTACTGGCCACCCGCTTCAACCGTTGATTGCTGATTGTCTTAAGACGAGGAAACTTTCAGTGTCGACGACACCGCTTGTTGATAACGACCCTAGTGAGGTCGATTTGGCTTTATTAAGTCAGCTCCCTCCGTGTAACATTGACGCCTTGATCTCGCTGCCAAAATGGCCTAAACTCGAGGAATTCCTAAGACAGTACCCCCAGTTAAGTGTGCTGTTGACGTTGCTGGGAGATAGCCATTTTCTGGTACCCTATTTCAAAACGAGCCAAATCGATAGTCTACGCATCTTCAATTGCGAGTATATCGTCGACCACCTTCCCAGAACTGTTTCCAAATTGTGTATTGTCCAAGGTCAGATTGACCTGGGTGATTTCCGTCAATTTGACCGGTTAAAGGAACTTGTCATTCAACACGTCATTTGCCCTGAGAACGAAATATTCAGGTTTCCACCATCACTACAGAAATTGAGGTTACCAAATGGGTACAGATACGACCCAGTGACGCTTACTGGAGTAGTAAACGCCCGTGTGGATTTCTATGGCAAACTTCCATGGTCTCAGTTAGTCAGAGTCGATGGCATTCGCCACTTACACGATGGCTTTGACATTAGCCACCTTGAGGAAGTGTCGGTAAGCGAGATTGGCTCTTCTTTTGCTAAGCTCGATATGCCCAAGCTTAAAGAGCTTTCCATCGTCCAGAATCCTGACCAATTGCTTGACGTGTGTCAGTACTTATCGGAGACACAAATGGCTCAACTCTCGATCCTAAACGCCGAGAACTTTGTCATTAACTCGTACCACAGTTTCCGTAACCTTCATCGACTTCAGATCTCAATGACGTCACCATTGACGACCCATACCCCGTTCCCCTCATCGTTAAAGACGTTAATCGTCAAGAGCTACGCTGCAATTGAAGGGATCCCTCCACAAGTCACTGAGTTTAAAGTTGAGGGCCATGAGGTATCCCTCAATTCAAATAATCTCCGCGATTTGACAATGACTGGTGTTGCAAATGCTACCGTGGTTGCCCCTAATTTATCACGTATTGTCGTCAAACAGTGTGTGCCCACTGGTGTTGAGTTTACCAATTTCCCCAATCTCTTGACCGCATTTATCCACGCCCATTCTCTGGAGTTACAGAGCCTTCGCTTTGGCGACCACCTCAATAAAATCGTCATCTGCTGTGACGAGTTGCGCCACCTGTGGCTTAAGCTGAAAGCCTACGTGCTGGTGAGAGCGGCACGCCTTCATAACGTCCAGTTTGATGCTCCCAAGCTGGTAATCGAGGCACTGGACTTTGACTTCCTTTCCCTCGCCAATTGTCAAAGTCTTTGCATCTCTGAGTGCAGCGTGTTACCTCCGACCCTCCAGAAAGTACACGTGCTGTTTTGCCTGATCGACCCGAGTTTTCTCCTTCAGTGTCCCCAGATCAAAAACGTCTTTTTAGACCGGTGTGACTTTTCCAAGCTCTGTCGCCATCATCGCCTTTACGTACCACTGACAGTGGAGAAGTTCAAAGTTAGAGGTAATGTGAGCAACTTGTGGATGAAGTGGGCCGATGAAACTAAGCTCGACTCCCTAGAAGTGCTCCACCCCGATAACTGTCCTGTACCGCATCTCACGTGGACGATGCTTGGCCTCTCGCTGCCACCACCTCACGCCTGGGTAGGACTTACACCAGCTCCCGTCTACTAATTTCAAATAGACTACAATGTAAGCTAAACGCTGCTATGTTTTCAAGCATACTTCCTTGGAGAAATCATTGAGATAGCACCAGCACTCAAGATAATGTATAAAAGGTCATGTACTTAAATCTAGAGCTTAGAAAAATACACATATAGTCATAATTCCAACTAAAACCATATCTTCATAGCATAAGGATCTTGTACGATCCCTCGACATCTCTGTTGATGCTACTTTTCCGCGATGCTTTCCGCGCATGATATGGGGGGTTTAGCCCTGCACCGAAACGGCACCATCGCGGCTGTGTTTCTGCATGGAACCCCGGAGGCTGGTCGCCAGCCATTCCAGAAGTGAATACTACAAGCAAGCTATAACGAATATAATAATGGATTGCTCTATTACCGAATGAAATGAAATGAGTAAAAATACAATGCGCTAGACGGCAAAGTCGTCGAGGGTGATGGTGGGCGATGTCGGGGGACTGACGCCTCTAGCCTTAAGAGTAGCGTCGCTGGTGTCGAGCCGGGGTCTAAATAACGTCCGTGTCTGACTACGGGAGCGGCCCACGCCCATCGTCGGCGGGTTTTGCCACTCCGCCATTTCTGAAGTAGTGTTATAGTCAGAAACATCAATACCGATGTGTTTAAGGTCAGCGACGACGTCAAACGCTTGTGGTGATGGCTCAGTAAACTGGGAGCGGACTTTCATCTCCGGCGACTCCAACACCGCGTCCAGCAGCTTCGACCGCAGCAAGAGGTTTTCCTGAAGCAGCACCCGCAATTGGGGCCGGTTGTCAGCCGCCCACTCCCTAATGGTTTCAGCAGCTCTGGTAGCATCGGCTTCCGAGGTCAAAATAACGATGATACGCGCCAAATTGGGGAGACACAGCCAGTACTCGACCTGGGGACAGCACTGGGCTACCTTGAACTTGATGGTGTCGGCCACCAGCATCGGCAGCGCCGGCGCCGCGACAAAGTCCTGCTTGTCGAGGTTGGTGACGATGATGCACGTCTTTTCGAGAGCCATGGTTCAATGAATTTCGTCAGGGGAAGGGCTGAAAGGGCCTTTTATCTCACAGAGGTATCTGGGGACGATTCAGGGTTCAGGGCGCAGCTGGCGAGCGCACCCACCCCACCGAGTGGCAGGGTCAGCAAATTGTGTACAGGAATAGTCAGCGACAATACTGGCTACGCCAGGGCCACACAGCCCCGTGGCTACGCTGAAGGTGCCGATGTCGTGTGGGCTACTATGAGCTAATAGGGCGTAGGAGTCATGCCCGAGTCACATTTGGTGGTGGGTGGTCACGAGGGCTGCAGGCAGAATATGGTGGCAGTGGTTGGCGGCGGTGTTGGCGTCAGCAATCAGCACTTGGTATCAGCCACTTTTTTTCGGGGCTGAGGAGTTAATTAGTCGCAGAACAAAAGTAAAGTGTGAGACGAGTTGGTAGGGACACGACCAAGCAATGACGAGAACACTACCAAAGTCAACGTTAATAACCCCGATGACCCTGAAGTATACTGTCTATGATTCATCTGGCGACAGTGACATTTTCGTAAATTTTATCTCCAGTGATGGGATGATGCCATCCTGCAACCGGCGGCCTCGATTAGGCAGCCCTGGCCGCGCAATGTCTCTGGCCGGGGCGGTCTTCAACATTTAGTTTAGTACGCAGTGAGGTATACAGCGCCAACCCTAAATCTTCGCTGACAGCACGTTGCTGGCGCGGCGTCACCCACGACCAGTCCAAAGTCACATCTCTATCCAGAGATACAAACAATTGTTTCAGTTATGACGTAAGATGACGATCGTCTGCAAACGGCAGTGGCGCCTATCGCTGCAGCGAAGGTTTTTGTCGGGCCAACAGCCCACTTTCCCCCATTGTTGTCCAGGCATAATGTCGGGTACGAAAGCTGGCGCCAATTTCACGCAGTCTGTATCTTCATGTACAGCATAAACATTTATTTTCCTGGACCCTGCCCCAAGATATAAGAGCAATAAATCCCCATTTATACAGTTGATCAGACTCAATCTCCTTACCCTCATTTTGCCCTACTTGCACTAACACTATACGATGGCCCCTCCCAATAGTGTGTTTTCGCCGTCGCGCGGGTTTGGCTCCCCCGGGTGCCACCAGTTGATGACGCCGCCGACGAACCGGACGCCTGTAAACCAAGCGAAATACTACCCGCTCGACGTCGACATCAAGCCGGTGTACCGGTGGCACGGCAACGTGTTGATGCTCGAGCGCCCCGGCGCCGATCTCGACCCCATCGACACCGACGAAATCGCCTGTGACTGGTAACAAGCCACAAACACGCCTAATTGATGATAATGACTAATGAACCCTAACAACATAATGAACAATCAATAATACACCCAGAATACACGAACAATACAGTATAAGAACAAAACACAAAAAATAGAGATTATTATCAAAAACATTTGGCCATTTAGCGGATTGTTTTTTGAACATCTCTTTTAAAGATTTAGACGTGGACTATGATGCGATCCGATAGTATCGTCGACGACTGGGCGCCGGCGCACATGGCGCACATGGGCGTGCTGGCTTGTTCTGCTTCGGAAAGTGGGGAAGCGGTGTGACCCCCCGCGTTTGCCGGTTGTTGGCGGCAGTTGGCACATACTTACGGGTCTCACTCCTATTGTGTGACCCCCAATTTTGGTAAGGGTGCCGCCATTGTACTCGTCGGAACAGCCGCTTCTATAGGGGTCGCTGCCGCCGTTACGGCGCCACGAAGGCGCTCGACACTTACTCAGCGCACGCCGCCGTAAGCGGGTTCTACCTCCACAAGCAGATACGCAACCCGCTCGGATGATTAGGGGGGGTTAATATTCCCGGCGTCAGCAATCGTAGCCGCTACAACTTTCCCTCTGTCAACAGACCCTATCCGTGGCGGGGGTCATGTATATATAGATCGGACGCAAATGTAAACAATGCTCATCCAGATGATGTCATCGCGTCGAGGGCGTCTAGTGAAAACTGGAGCGCGCCTCCCCGGACTAGGCGATGCTCTGGGGTCCCCAGTTCAGGGTCCCCCCTACTGTATAGAGCGCATCGATGCCCCCAGATCCTTACTTTCATACGTATATTTGATGTTCATTTTGCTTCGCTTCTTTGTGTGGATCAGGGTTCCAAATATAGCAACAAGCCCCCCCCGGATAAACATTGAGACCCATCACCACAAGGCGCCAGCACCGTGACGTGCCACACCCCTTATCTCTGTATGTGCTCTGGCACTGCCTCCCCTAGGCTCCAGCTTCGCTGGCGGCGCAGGGTGGGGGTAGCCGAAGCATGGTGGCAGCGTGGCAGCGTCGTCGGCAGTGGTCAGTTCCATACTTCCGTCATCGGCAGCGACTCCCGTCACAGTGGGCCAGCGGCGCCGCGCCCCGCCTCGCGTTGTTTGTTTGTTTTCCCTTGGCTGTGCGACGCGACAAAACCTTTCTCTCGTCGCGACTATCGCCGCCCACCCATTGGCACCAAGACCTCTATTTCCCAATAGACTAGCTCTTTATCGAGTATCAGCTTCTTCTCTATCACTTGCTCTTATTCCCCTAATTTTCGTGGCACGTTTGTTTGTTGTTGTTTTCGCCGCCGCACGTGTGTTTTGATCTTTAGGTTCTCACCCTCCTACATATCACAGACAGTTTGCCGGGCGTGGCCAGGTGTTTTTTTTCCTCGCCCTCCGTCCACCAGCGTTTGCCCCGTGTGAGTTTGTGATTGTGTGGTTGCCTGTTCCCCATCTCTATTTCTTCCTTGTTGTGTTAGCTGCTGCTGACGACCGATATATCCCTTTGTTTAACGACTAAAGCGGAATCTCTCTTTGGAACGGCCCACCTTCTGATACCCCCCCTTTGACCCCCCGTTAACGGACCACGCTATCCCCTCCCAACTATTGTCACTCGCTATCCAGACCATCCCCGAGCACCCTCGTCGATCGCTATATACCCTTTGATACCCCGTTTTTGCACCATCGAACCATGAGGCAAAACATCCAGATCCACGACGAAAACTTGGACCGCCCGCCCAAGGGCAAGCCCTCGGCCCGCCCGCCGGCGCGCGAGGTGTTGCAGGACGTCACCTACCCCAAGAAGCCGTTGGCGCCCGTGAGCGCCAACGCCCCGAAGAAACCCAAGCTCCACGTCTACGACAGCCTGAGCCAGTTCAAGAAACCCCGCCTTGACAAAGTGCGGAGCCAGGCCGACGACGACAAGGAGAACCGCCCCGTGCTGGAGGAAGACATCGTCATTCGCAGTCACTTTGACGAGCTTAATGTCGACGCCGAGTTGACCGAGGACACCAAGAGCGACGCCGCCGAGGACGACGACGACGACGACGACGCCGCCGACGAGTTCGTCAACAACCTGGACTACGACGGCGCCGACACGGCGCCGCGGGGCGCCGCCAACGTCCCGATGACGCCGCGGTGGGACCGCAAAGTCTACGATGAATTGCAGTACGTGAGACACAAGTACCAGCGGGCGACGTTAGATGAAAACGACGAGGACACCTACGACGTGACCATGGTCGCCGAGTACGCCCCGGAGATCTTCAACTACATGCACGAGCTCGAAGGGCGCTTGCTGCCCGACCCCCACTACATGGACCACCAAAATGAGCTCAAATGGGACATGCGGCGCGTGCTCATCGACTGGGTGGTCCAGGTGCACTTGCGGTTCAACTTGTTGCCCGAGACGCTCTTCTTGACCGTCAACTACATCGACCGCTTCCTCCTGCGCCGCAAGGTGCTGTTGCTGAAGTTCCAGCTCGTGGGCGCCGTCGCCCTCTTCATCGCCGCCAAGTACGAGGAGATCAACTGTCCCACCGTCCAGGAGGTCGCCTACATGGCCGACAACGCCTACAGCGTCGACGAGTTCCTCAAGGCGGAGCGGTTCATGATCTCGGTGCTTGACTTCGACATGGGGTGGCCGGGGCCGATGCTGTTTTTGCGCCGCACCTCGAAGGCCGACGACTACGACTACGAGACGCGCACGTTGGCGAAGTATTTCCTCGAAATCACCATCGTCGACCTGCGGTTCGTGGCGCTGCCGCCGCTGTGGCTCGCCGCTGGCGCCCACTACCTCCTGCGCCGCTTGCTCCAGAAGGGCGAGTGGACGGAATTGCACGTTTTCTACCTGGGGTACACCGAGGCCCAGTTGCGCCCGCTCGCCGAGGCGCTCATCAACGCCTGCCAGCACCCCGAGGTCCACCACAAGGCCATCTACGAGAAGTACCAGGAGCGCCGCTACCGCCGGCTGTCGGCGTACGTCCAGGAGTACCTCCAGTCGCTCGCTTAGTCTGCTGACCCTTATCTGCCTTGATCTCGGTGATCTCTCCATCTATTCCCCTGATCTCTGCGATCTCTACACCTCCTCCGATCTCCCCGATCTCTCCCCCTCCTAATCTCTGGAACTTTGCATTTATAACAACTAATTAATTCGAGAATAATGACGACGGTGTAGATTGCAATACGAGACATAGGTGGTCTGATCACCATACGAGATGCCGTTAGCCGCGCCGCTTACCTAAGCGGATGCCTAAGCGGATAACTCCAGCTAAAATAAGCTTTCGGCATTACTTGCCCGTGTCTCAGATTATCTCCGCTACCCAATTGCCTTTGAATTCGGAGTGGAGTAATTCCCGAGGAGTCAATTGAGCAAGTTGAAGCTATGGGTTAATGCTGGATGGAGCATCACTAATAGGGGCGAGAGCAATCAACCTGCGGGGTGGAATGATTTGTGGATCAGTTGGATTCAACGTACTGCCAGGAGTCAATTTGCGTGGTACATAACATATAAAATACGGACGTGCTACCAGGGACAATGTCGCCATATACACATAAAAACCCACGGGCTAAACTTGCCAGATCATCGGAGAATTATAGGGGAAAAGCGGGTTTGCCTAGGGTCCCCAGTCTAGTGCCACTAAACCTGCATCTCCGATCATTCGAGTTTGGATCTAGCGTCAATGATTGGTGTGTGCTAGTCTCCCACTTTAGAAGTGAGTGTGAGATAATTTCACCGTTTGAATGAACTGCTGATTAATATTCAGTTTACAAAGCCAGTCAATGACGGTTAATGCTTAATTTAACTATTTTATGAGACTACGAAGTGAAGCCAGTTACCCAATTATCGCCCCTGTTAATACTCATAGTGGCCACCATAGCATTAACTCAAATTTAAGAATAACGTGTAAGGCTAATTAGTTCCTGTTCCCATGACGACCACGTCATTTCGATTATGATGTTTCAGGTTTCCGTGGGTGAATATAAATTCCTTTTCCTCCGCCTTCTGTCATTTTCCTTGCGATCCCGCGCGGGTTAATTTTGCCCCCTGAAATCGCACTCATCCCATCTCCACTCCCTCACTCTCACCCTCTCCCTGATGTTGTCGACTGCTTTCCGTACCGCTGCCAGAAGAGCCCTCCCCGTGGCCAGAGCCACCACCCGCATCACCGCGTCGCAATTGGCCGTCCGCCGTACGTTGGTGGCGTCGCCCGTCCGCTTCAACCTGGCGGCCAACTTGAAGGAAGTGCTCAAGTCCGAGCTCAAGATCTGCAGCGCCATCCCCAACGAGTTGGAGCCCAACTACCAGCAGTTCCTCGAACAAAACGGCTACAAGTTGATTGCCAACGAAGGTACTTCTAACGTCCAGCTCGTCAAGGAAAAAGGTGATGAAGTCATCAGAGTGTTCTTCGACATCGACGAAGTCACCGATATCCCCATCGGCCAACTTGCCGAGACCGAGGGGGCTTACGAAGACGACCTTGAGGCCGAGGCCGACTCGTTGGACTCGTTGTTGTGCAACATCAAGGTGTTGGTGGAAAAGCCCGCGCAAAACGACGGTTTGTTTGTCAACTTGTTCATGCAAAACACCGACGAGCTGTTCTCGGTCGACTTCATCAACTACCAAGCCGACGTCAAGCAATTCTTGAACGAAATCGCCTCGAGCAACGAGTTCATCGACAAGTTCAAGTACCAAGGCCCCCGCTTCTCGGACTTGGACGAGTCGTTGCAAACTGAATTCGAAAACTACCTTGCCGCCCGTGGCGTCAACGACGAGTTGGCTGACTTCATCGTCGCCTTCTCCGAATACAAGGAAGAAAACGAATACCGCACCTGGTTGCTGAACTTGGCCAAGTTTGTTTAAATATAAGCCCCAAAATATCCGCCCCCAAAACCTCCGGAACGCTGGGGCTTGTACATAGCCGGAATGAATGCTCTAAGACAACTACCAACAATTACCAACAATTGGTAACAGTTCTTAACAATTGCTATCAACTACAGGAATTTACTCTTGGGTCTAGGCTCGCTTAGGTAAGAGATCACGAGGAGTAGTGGCAATTACGGGTAGTGGTAATTACGGGTAGTGGTAATTTAGTAGACAGGGCGTAGACAGGGCGGTATCGGGGGGTGCATGTTAACCCCGACTGTGGCCCTGGGATTACCGACAATGCCGGTAATTAATGCCGGCTAAAAAAGTCTAGATCTCGATGTACGGATGGATGCTAGCAATCCGAACGGGAGCTCGTGGCCGCGGTGTGGCGGCGTCGGTGATCCAGCTCCGGATGCGGCGGGATAGTTGTTTCGCTTATCGCCGATACGTCAATTAAGGTATCGCTACCGACGCTACCGTAGTGCGGTGGTTGGGACAGTGACAGGTGCGCATCACGTGCAAGTCACGCGCACCGCACCCACTCTAGGGCTACTAGCCCTAATAGCGCACTGGCAAAAAATTTCACCACCACCGATACCACTACCCTCACTATAGAACCAATGTCCGCCGAGGCTTCCGTTTCGTACGCCGCTTTGATCTTGGCCGATGCCGGGGTCGACATCACCGCTGACAACTTGTTGACCGTCACCAAGGCCGCTGGCGCCGACGTCGACAACGTCTGGGCCGACATTTTCGCCAAGGCCCTCGAAGGCAAGGACCTCAAGGAGATCCTCGCCGCCTTCTCCACCGCCGGCCCCGCCGCTGGCGCTGCCCCCGCTGCCGGTGCCGCCGCTGCTGGTGGCGACGCTGCCGCTGCCGAAGAAAAGGAAGAAGAAGCCGCCGAAGAATCCGACGACGACATGGGGTTCGGCTTGTTCGACTAAACGTGTTAGTAGTTAATTTAATGTACTATAGTGAATGGTGTAGCCAGCGCACAATTGACTATCTGAGTCTGATAAAACCGAGGTTGCAATGCTAGGTTACTAAGGGTGTGGCTTAGTAGATCCGCGTTAGTAACCGGCAAGCAGGCGATCTGTGGTCGTTTCGTTTGCGTCGACACGGAAGTCCAACGAGGACAATGACGTGCGCGGCTGAAGGGGACCAACAGGCCCTTAGTCAACGACAAATTGCGGCGGCGTTTTGTGGTTAAATTTCACCTGACTTTCCAATTATTCACTGGCAGATTCGAGGAAGTAAGGCTACGTAATTGCCGCTGATCTCCGGGACAGGCCTCGACAATCGTCAGACTACATCTTAGGCCACAACTCAAATGGCTATTTCTTTTGGTCGCAGCGCTACGGACCGTCGGTGATAGCCACTTCCAGCGCACCCGAAAAAGAACAGGCCCAAAGGAGACAGACAGCGAGCTACGACCAACTACCAATTATCCTCACACGTATGCTAGCTTACATATCATGGACTCATTTCCTATCGGTGCCTGACGACATCGCAATGGCGACTTAGTAATTGAGACATCTCTCCTCTACTACCGTACACTGTGACTAGCGCCTTGTGTCGCGCTCGCCATTTGTCATCGGTGACGACGCCATGAGTAATCTGCACCAGACACCCCTCGGTCTTGTGATCGCGGGGACGGCGAGCAACGTGGTGGGCACCGCCGCAGGTACGGCCACCACGGATCGCTACGGAGACCACGGGATCCGTGGTGGTCCGTAGTCCCGGCGCCGGTGTCGCTGTCCTCGCCTAGGCGCTCAGTAACCAGGCGCTCAGTAACCAGGCGCTCAGTAATCAAGTAGACCTCTGCGCTTAGTCTCGCCAGGGCGCCGCCAGGGCGCCGCGGGTATACCGCTTACAAATAATCACGCACCGCACCGCGCGCGGGTCCATTTTGATCTCGCGGGCAGCGCTGCCTAAGTCATCGCTTGTGGGGTGTGGGAAACGGTTACGAACAACGCCGAGCGTGATGTCTTTCGCACGCGTGCCTAATGGGGCAACCGGCCCCAAAGCGGCCAAGCCCGAAGCGCCCCATGACCGACAAACCCTCACGCCCCCTAATCGCCCTCGTATCCTCTTGGCACCAGCCACACCCTCATGGCCTCATGCTATAGACCATGGATCGCTACAATTCCTATCTCTGGGCCTTCACGCGTGGACGCGGACGAGACGGAGCCACCGGGCCCGTTGGTCGGGTCGGAGGCTTCGGCCACCGGCCCAGCAATAGGACAATGAGGAATAAAAAAAAAGCGTGCGACGTCTCACCGCGTTGCGAGCCCGGGACACGGGTAAAATCAGAAAAAATATTCCGCGAGGGAAAAAATAACGGAGGACGCTAGCACGAACCATCTGACCCCCGAAGGTATATAACTTGCCGCCCTCCCGCTCCAGCCCCACCACCTTGAGATTATCCGAACCAGCCCTCCCACCGGCGACATTGACCCCACTCAATCCTCATACCACTCAGCAGCTAACTCAGCAGCTAACTCAGCTTACTCTGCTTACACAGCTTACACAGCAGTTTACACAGTTACACAGCCTACCATAATCTGGGTATGTCGATGTCCTTTGCCCAGACCTATATCCTCGCCCTGAAGGTGCGCCTGAAGTTGACCCACGACGCCGGCGCCCTGAACGTGCTGTTGCGACGGCTCGTCGTTCAGGCGAACATGCTTGATACGCTCATGGACCTGATCGCCGAGCAGCAGCTGGCGAAGCACCACGCGCCCGTGATCGAGCCCGTCGCCGAGGACCGCACCGAGGTTACCACCTACGAAGTGGAGTCCGACGACGACGACGACGACGACGACATCTACTACGACTCGTCCGAATACGACCTGGAGCTGGACGACGACTGGGACGACAGCTGCGCCCCGTCGGAGCTCGCGCTGCTCGCGAAGCTGGTGTTTGACTACCAGTACCCGGTGGTGGTGGACCACGAAATTGACGTCAACGACGACGACGCCGACGACGAGCTCCCGGCGTTAGAACAGTGCCACCTGCTGAGCGACTCCGAGGACGAGTTGGCCGAGGTGGTGGCGCCGCTGCCGGTGATGTTGCACGATAATGCCGCGGCGATCGCGCGGAAGCCGCTGGTGGCGGCGGCGGCGCTGCATCCGCTCCACCACCGCAACCACGCCATCCACCTGATCACCAGCGTGTTCTAAATGGCCTGGTAACCTTTTTTCCCCTTATTAACGACTGTATAGACTAACGATTAACGACTGCATCACCCGATTTGTAGACTGTCGACACCATCTTCCGATGCCGGAAGGTGTCGGGACATCGCCCACCGGCTCTCGGCCCCCGCAATTGCCGCGCGCATTTAATTTCGAGCGCTGTTTTTGCAACCAACCGGCACCTAACCTCCGTGCGCCTCCCGATCCGGCGCGCCGGCAGCAGCCCCTAAATGCCTCGGCAAGGCCGTGCGGGCGCCGTTTCCGTCATCGTCGCCGTCTGCCCCCTTAGCTCATCGCGGCACACGTAAGCGGTGTAACGCGGTGGACGCGGTGTACGTAAGCGGTGAACCCTCCTTCCTAGCACGCGCTTCCCCACCTCTTACTGTCACTCGTCTACACGGAGCCGTGCCGGGACCCGGATATACTCCTCACGAGCCTCACGAGCCTTGTCACTACTTACCCTCTCAGTCCTAACCCCCTTCCCCTTCGAACCGCAAGGCAAGCGGTGCTTTTGGCGATATTGTCACGCCGTCCATCTGGTGTCGGCAGCTCGTTTGCCAATCCTCGATGACCACTGATGGTAGCGCGGTAGCGCCGAGTGCGACTACGGTAGTGGGAGACAGCAAGTGAGCAAGCGTGTGAGGGTCTAGAATCCGGAGTTATCTCCGTGGGGCCACTCCCAAATTAGGTTTTTAGCGTCAGCGTCAGTAGCGTCGGGGTAGCGTCGGGGTAGCGTCAGTGAAACGGAAGGCGACGGCCCACGACAAAATTGATATCTCCGGCGCGTCGCCCGTGTCAGCAATCGTTCGTAAACACTAGGGTCAAAGGTCATATACTCCCGAAAACTGGGGTCACGGCGGGACGAGCGCTAAGGTTAAGCAGACGCCAGTGGACACTATCCCCGAAGCACAAGGTAACAGAGAGAGACAGAAGGAGGTAGTACATAGTCCGTGATGCGTGGTAGGGGCTACAGGTAGGGGCTAGCCCGCTACCGACGGTCCCGTGGGTGCGCGGAATAATTTCGCTCCTGTCTACGTCAATTTAGCCGTTTTCGGCATTAAGCCCGATTCGTCCGACGAACTTCGCATTAGGTCCGGACCGGCGACCCACCACCACCCACCACCAGTGTTAGCAAAAATCACATGCTGGGCGACTCCAGGTTTTTATCAAAAAAAAGACGTTGTCCCCCGACTTCTGCCCCACGGTTCCCGCACGATGACGTTGGTCACTCACAATTTCAGCCTCTTTCAACAGGGGCACGACGCCAAAAAAACCACAACATCAGAGAAAACCACGCCATACGTAGAGAAAACAGGCCACCGCCATGTGAACTTTAAACCGTTAAGTTTGTGTCTTTGCCATGTGAACCTTATACCGTCGAATTGTGAATACGTGGTCATTCGTGGGGTATTGTTTTTCTTTACTCATTTTTTTTTTGCTTACTCCTTTCGCACTGGCTACTACATCCTCGGTCCGCTGCGGCTAACAAAAGAGCGTTACCCGCTAACGGTTTCTCAGAGGCCGGAGTCCCCGAGCAACAACAGCGTTAGCCGGCGATCAACCACTGAGCATTTTCAACCACGGAGTTACCACGCAAATGGCACCACCATTACCACAATTGGCCTCGGTTCTCCATACGTAGTCACGGACAACGGCCACCGCGGTATCCCCCGCAACCGGCGTCGCATCAGCTCATCTTTTTCCCCAGCTTTGGCTCATCCTCGGTTTATGTCGCTGGTAGCGGAATTGCGGAGGGGAGTGCGACCCCACCCCTACTGCCATTTAAATAGCGCCGCCGCCCCAGGAATCTCCACATTTTTTATCAACACACACTTCACCATGGTCTCGGTTACTGACACGGTGAACTACACCGCCCCGCCCGACCCCGCCGCCCTCATTGGCCGCGAACGGGCCCAGAACGCCTGGGACCCCGTCAAGATGAACTGGTTCTTGGAAGGCTCGAAAAAGAACTCGGAAACCATCGCCATGATCACTGAACAACTTGAGCGTGACCCCATCATGAAGGTGTCCGCCAACTCCTACGACTTGACCAAGGACCAGCAGCGTGAGGTCACTGCCTTGAAGATCGACCGCATGACCCGCTACTTGGAGCTCGACGACGAGTTCACCTTCGACATGAGATTGCTGATGATCGGGATCATGGACCCGCAGTCGCTTACCCGTCCCGGGGTCCACTTGAAGTTGTACATCCCCGCCATCAGAGGCAACGGGACCGCCGAACAGCTCAAGTTCTGGTCGCAAACGATGGGCGCCGGCAAGATTGCCAAGACCTACGGTTGCTTCGGGATGACCGAGTTGGCCCACGGGTCTAACGTCCCTGGTTTGGAAACCACCGCCACTTTCGACGAGGAAACTGACGAATTCGTCATCAACACCCCGCACATCGGTGCCACCAAGTGGTGGATCGGCGGTGCCGCCCACTCCGCCACCCACTGTGCTACTTACGCTCGTTTGATCGTTAAGGGCCAGGACTACGGGGTTAAAGTGTTTGTCGTCCCCTTGAGAGATCAGGACTTCAACTTGAACCCTGGTGTCACTGTGGGTGACATTGGTGCTAAGATGGGTCGTGACGGGATCGACAACGGGTGGATCCAATTCTCCCACGTCCGTATCCCCCGCCACTTCATGTTGCAGAAGTTCTGTAAGGTTTCCAGAGACGGGGAAGTCACTTTGCCTCCTTTGGAACAATTGTCGTACTCGGCCCTTTTGGGGGGTAGAGTGGGGATGATCGTCGACTCCTACCGGATGATCGCCCGGATGACCACCATCGCCCTCAGATACGCCATCGGCAGACGCCAGTTCCCCAAGAACGGCAAGCTGGGCGAGGAAATGCAGATCATCGACTACCCCTTGCACCAACGCCGTCTCTTCCCTTACTTGTCGGTGGCCTACGTCGCCTCCGCCGGGGGGATGAAGATCGCCATGACCTTGTACTCGATCATGAACGACTTGGACAAGGCCGTCGCCGAAACCGACATGGCGTTGCTCGGCACCACCATCGACCGCTTGAAGCAGTTGTTCGTCGACTCCGCCGCCTGCAAGCTGAACTTGACCTGGACCGCTGCCGCCGCCATTGACGAATGTCGTCAAGCCTGTGGTGGTCACGGCTACTCGTCCTACAACGGGTTCGGCAAGGCCTACAACGACTGGGTGGTGCAATGCACCTGGGAAGGTGACAACAACATGTTGGGTACCGTTGCCGGTAAGTCGATCTTGAAGAACGTCGCCAGAGTGTTGAATGGCAAGAAGCTCGACGGCGTCAACGCCTTCTTGAACGACACCGCCCAATTCACCGGCGACAACCGCAAGAAGACGATCTTGAACTCGGCCGACGACGTCCTCAACGCCGAAACCTTCTTGAGAGCCGTCGAAGTCGGGATCATGAGAGCCTCGGTGGCTGCCCTCGAACAGGCCAAGGAAAACGGCGACGACTACAACTCGATCGGCGCTGAATTGGTGTTGATCACCCGCTTGTGGAACCACTACTACTTGTTGGACGAGTTCATCAAGAGAGTCAACTCCCACGACGACAAGCTGGTGGTGCCCTTCTTGCAATTGCAAGGCAAGTACTACTCGGCCGGGTTCGCCTTGCAACAGTGCTCGGCTCTTTTCCTCTCGTTGTCGTTGATCTCGCCCGAAGTGTACGCCGACGTCACCACCAAGGTCTTGCCTCGCTTGTCGAAGGAAATCAGACCCCACATTGTTGCCTACACCGACTCGTTCCAATTGCTGGACATGATCGTCAACTCCGCCATCGGCAAGTACAACGGTAACATCTACGAGAACTACTTTGACATTGTCAACCAGCAGAACCCGCCCATCCAGACCAAGGCGCCTTACTCGGGTGCCCTCGAGGCGATGTTGGCCAGAGACACTTTGGAAAAGCGCGACCGCTACGAAAAGCTGGCCGAAGCCGCTAAGGTGTTGCTGAGCTAGTGGGCGTGGTCGTGGTTGTTTTGACGAAGCTATGAGTATATATTTTGAATGAAACTTATTTAACGGGAGTCCACGCCGAGTACTGCAGAGACGCCAAGTGCAAACTTTCACAGGCCTGTCTATTGTTCGACTTTATTGTGGTGAAAAACATCAATGATCCAGCGACTATCTAGACTAGATCACTAAACGCAGTTACGACAGGAACTACTCTCGATCTAAGATACATTTAGCAGCATTCTCTAGCGGTTTATCCCACTTATATCAGCTCGTTGTCCTGTTCCCTGCCTACCTAATGGGGAAGGGGCTGCACCATGTGGGGTTAAGCGCGACACTAACAATGTCCTTCGGCCTCGGCCCATCTACCCCACAGGGGCCCGCATTCCCCAGAAACCAGTGAATTCACGAGTGGCAACAGCTCAGCTGTTCTTAATAGATAACCAGACCACTTGGAAATATCAATTACTGGCCTTAGTCTTCATTCTAGTCTCCAATCCACGCCTCTGATTTCCCCTCAAGTCTCCCCTCGGTCTCGTATAGTGGTGACAGTGTTCGGGGTTGGCGCGTGAAAGCGTCTCCGTCACGGTCATGTGGATTTGGCAGGCAATCGCCGCTCCGAAGGCGTTCCCCACACTCCCACTTGATATATAAGGCGGCCTCCGATCTGAGAGGGGTCCCACAGGAAAATCATGGTCAGCGTCACCAACCGTGTCAACACGTCGCCGCCGCAAAACCCCCGCTCGCTCCTCCAGAAGGAACGGGACCAGCTGGCATGGGACCCCGTCAAAATGAACTACTTCTTGGAAGGGCTGCAGCAGCGCAGCGAGGCCGTGGCCAACATTTTGCAGCTGCTTGAGCGGGACCCCGTTTTGGCGGTGGGGCCCGAGAGCTACGATGAAACCAAGGCAGAACAGAGAGAGACCACCGCCCGCAGAATCGACCGCTTGATGCGCTACTTGGAGACGGAAAGTACCGACGACTTCCACACTCGCTTGCTGCTTGTGGGCATCACCGACCCGGGGTTGTCGACGCGTATCGCCGTCCACCTCATGTTGTGGATCCCCGCCATTAATGGGAATGGGACGTTCGAACAGAGAAACTACTGGTTGAAGGACAAGCTGGAGCACATCCGCGACGTCTACGGGTGCTTTGGTATGACTGAGTTGGCCCACGGGTCTAATGTTCCGGGGATGCAAACCACCGCTACTTTTGATGAAGAGACCGACGAGTTTATCATCAACACCCCTCACATCGGTGCTACGAAATGGTGGATTGGTGGTGCTGCTCATTCGGCTACTCACTGTGCCACTTACGCCAGACTTATTGTGAAGGGTAAGGACTACGGGGTGAAAGTGTTCGTGGTTCCCTTGAGAGATGCCGACTTCAACTTGAACCCCGGTGTCACTGTGGGTGACATTGGTGCCAAAATGGGTCGTGACGGGATCGACAACGGTTGGATTCAGTACTCGAACGTGAGAATCCCCCGTTTCTTCATGTTGCAGAAGTTCTGCCAAGTCGACCGCAACGGTGAAGTGACGTTGCCTCCTCTTGAACAATTGTCGTACTCTGCTCTCTTGGGTGGTAGAGTCGGCATGGTCACTGAATCGTACAGAACCATTGCCCGTATGATCACCATCGCTCTCAGATACGCCATTGGCCGTACCCAGTTCCCTAAGACCGGCAACCCTCAGGAAGAGCAGCAGATCATCGACTACTCGCTCCACCAGCGCCGTCTTTTCCCTTACTTGTCGGCAGCTTATGTGATCTCGGCCACCGCCTACAAGTACGCCCAGGTGATCAAGCAGGTGATGCACGACATCGACGCCGCCGTCGCCGACTCCAACATGAAGGCGTTGGGCAAGGCCATCAACGACCTCAAGGAGTTATTCGTCGACTCGGGCTCGTGCAAGCTGAACTTGACCTGGATCACCGCCGACTGTATCGCCGAGTGCCGTCAAGCCTGTGGCGGTCACGGGTACCTGGCCTACAACGGGTTTGGCCGGGCGTTTGCCGACTGGCACGTCATGTGCACCTGGGAAGGGGACAACAACATCTTGGGTGTCCACGTAGGTAAGTCAATCTTGAAGCAGTACATTGGTGCCGTGCAAAAGGGTAAGGCTCCTTCGAACTCGATCAAGTTCCTCGCCGAAGCCCCCAACTACACTGGCGACAAGGGCAAAGAGACCATCCTTAAGACGCCCCAGGACGTGTTGGACTTGAACAAGTTCGCCCGGGCGTTGGAAGTGGGGATGATGAGATTGTCCCACCGTACTGCCGGCAAGCTCAAGCAGAACAACGGCGACTTGGACAACCTTGGTCCCGAGTTGGTGTTGCTTACTCGATTGAGAGCCCACCACTGCTTGATCACGGAGTACGCTGACCGTCTTGCCAAGCACAGCGACAACCTGACCAAGCCCTACTTGGAATTGATGGGGCAGAACTATGCCGCCGCCTTCGTATTGCAGCAGGTGTCGACGTTGTTCCTCACCTACAACTTGATCGACTCCGAAGTGTTTGGCGACATCAACAGTGACATCTTGCCGGCGCTTGCCCAGAAGATCCGCCCCCACATCGTCACCTACACTGACTCCTTCCAGTTGTCGGACAACGCCATCAACTCTGCCATTGGTAAGTGGGACGGCAACTTGTACGAGAACTACTTCAATGTCGTTTGCCAACAAAACCCTCCCAAGAACACTCACGCGCCTTACTCTGAGATCCTCGAAAAGGCGATCGCCAGAGGGCCCTTGGACCGCCGTGACCGTTACGAAAAGACCGGCGAAGCCGCTAAGCAATTGTCGAAGTAAGTAATTGAAGAAAACGTATGTGGTATATTCATGAAACTCTCCAAAGATTGTAGAAAATAACCTGTTAAAAGAGGTTCTTGTGAGGACTCGAACTTTGATGTTCCGAAATTTGACAACTTTTGCTAAAATTTTCTAAATGAACTAACTTCACCATAAATTCTCTTGAAGTTCGAAATCATATCCTATAATAGATTGCCTGTGTCATCTACAGTAGTAGTAATTGATACTTGCTCAAATATGGAGTATGCTATTAATGAATGCTAAATTAGATATATACATAAGTGTCCTGTGGGCTACTTTTGACCCCAAAGAATCAGAAGATACGTCTTGGCGCCGTTTCTGGGGCGGTAACTGGGTCGTACAAGCTGCTCGGAAAAGCGAAGTACGAACAAATGGTGGTAAGGGGCTTCCTTGTGCATCGAGTCGGGGAACAAGTAGTCGTTTTCCACCTTAGTGTCCTCAGGGAAATGTTCGAGAACCATCGGCCATGAGTATTCTTCAAACACGGTGAACATAACCGCCAAATGGTACGACTGATTGTTCAATTTCTTCATGTTGTAATAGTATCCCAGGGGTTCAAAGTTGAACATGCCGGTGTACACGAGCGCCGGCACCCGTGTGATCGCCCACATCTCAAATATTAAGCTGGAAAACAACAACTGCTGGGCACCAAACACTCTTTCGACGATGCTTTGCTGCTTCTTCTTCGGTTCGCCAGCAATCACCCTCAGCAACTTGAACGTCTCGTAGTCTAGACAGATCTTCATCTTGCCCATCGGTAGTTTGATGACAAACGAGTTGTGGATGAAGTCGCGATGGAACTCGGTTTTGTGAATCTCGCGAGTGATGAAGCCGGAGAAGATCTGGTGCTTCAACAACCGGTCCTTGAACTCGTCGATCTGCTGCTTGATAAGCACAGCCACGTCATGGCACTGTGACTTCTCCGCCAAATCTAGGTACCTCTCGTGGTTCTTCAAGTGTCTCTCGGTCTGGTCGATGCGGTAGGCGAGCTTGTTGCGTTCAGCCTCACATCGCTGGATGACGTAGTCTAATCGAGGCACCACCGTTTTAATCATGAACTCCTCGATCGAGTTGGGCGGACTCAAAGCTCCGCGGACCTCGCCGGTGATTTCGGCCGATGTGTCAAGATCGACCTCGAAGACATACCCTGGTCGTGTGATCATGATGAACACTCGCTGAAACTCCAAAAGGTTTTTCTTACCCGTTAGATGCATCACCGTCTCAAGGTCGGTGTAGAACTTGCATGTCACCCCTCGAGCTACCAATGCATCGTCGGTTTCACTCGATTGCACTGTCGCAGACATGATGGCGAGAAGCACGCGCACCGATGAAAAAGGCGTCGATCGTCGCTGAGGTTGGTAAACGGTGGTTATATGAGGAGTGAAAAATGCGAATTCACCTGCAACAACATAACAAGTAGGCATTTAGAACCAGCTAAAATACGTATGTGGCCAAAGAAGACAAGAAATGCGTGAAATGACGGGATTTTGCGCCTGAATCTGCTATCGTATAACTAGGAACAGTCAAGTCATTCCCCAGAAGCCCTCTTAGCTCAGCGGTAGAGCATCTCACTTGTAATGAGAAGGTCAACGGTTCGACCCCGTTAGTGGGCAGTTTCGTTTTTTCTCCCTACTTTTTTATCCTTTTTTTCAATCTACGCTTTTAATTCATCAGCAAAATGCCGGTAGTAGATGGTATCATGGAAACGAGACTCTTTCAAAGCTTGTAATGCCATGCAGCGATGATCACATCATAATATACCCCCCCGTCGCGTGATGTAGCTACTGTCAGCCTCCCTCGGCTATCTTCCTGCACACAAATTATTTGTTGCTTATAGTATCATTATCGCCACACATCTAGACCTAAGCCAATGTACCGTCGAGCTCTACGCCGACAGCTAGTGCCGAGGCCTTTGGCGACCCGCCGACCAATAGGGGTCGCCCCGATATGGCACACACACTCCCAACGACAGCTCGCCTCGTTCGCCCTGAAGGTGCTTGCCCGAGTAGGGATCACGAGTGCTGTGGGTGGTGGTTTCATTTACACCATAGATCAGGCGACGCTGGGGGTCAGAGATCAGCTTTCCAAGCTCAAAGACTTTGCCAATGGTGCGTTTGATCTGGCTGGAGACTTCTTCAAGGGGATGGGCGCCGATAAGGGCAGTGGCGACGGTGGCTCTGATGGTGGCTCCTCCAGCCAGAATTCCAATAGTGCGGGGGGTGATGGTGGCGGCAGCGGCGATACTGCCACTGCTGTGGGTGCTACTGCAGCTGCTGTTGGTCTCCTGAAGGAAGAAGATGACGACTTCTCTAAAGATCCATTTGAAGAGGAAGACGATGAATTAGTGCTCGAAGCTGACGACGAAGAGGAGCCTGATTTCGAGCACGATGAGACCGACGACATCATGATGAACTTGTCGAAGCAGATGATCGAGCTCCGCAACATGCTTGCCCTGATCGACCACGACACCATTCGGTTGCCCCTGATCGTGGTGGTGGGGTCGCAGCTGCTGGGTAAGTCGTCGGTGCTTGAAGCCATTGTCGGTCAAGAGTTTTTGCCCAAGGGTAACAACATGGTCACGAGAAGACCCATTGAAATGACTCTTGTTAACACCCCCGACGCTGCTGCCGAGACCGTCGACTTCCCCGCGTTGAAGCTTTACAATATCACCGACTTCAACCAGGTGCAAAAGCAGTTGTACGATCTCAACATGGCGGTGCCGATGACGGAAGCGATTCTGCCTGATCCCATTCAGGTCACCATCCGGTCGCCCCGTGTGCCTGATCTTTCGTTGGTGGATTTGCCTGGTTACATCCAGGTCGAAGCTGCCGACCAGCCTACGGCTTTAAAGCAAAAGATCCGCTCGATTTGCATGCGGTACCTTGAAGCCCCCAACATCATTCTTGCCATCTCCGCTGCCGATGTCGATTTGGCGAACTCAGCGGCGCTCCGTGCGGCTAAGTTAGCCGACCCTAACGGTGACCGTACCATTGGTGTCGTCACCAAGCTTGATTTGGTGGAGCCTCAACAGGCTCGGGCAATTTTGACTAACCGTAAGTACCCGTTGCGGATGGGCTACGTCGGGGTGATCACCAAGGCTCCTACAGGGAAGCAGGCTCTGCTTTTCAGCCGCAAACAAGTGGGCGGCTACCAAGCGTTCGTGGCTCAGCAAAACTATGAATACCATTACTTGAAGGAACACAAGAACGCCTTTGTGGGAACTGTCACCTCCACTCGCAACCTCAAGAAGAAGTTGGTCAAGGTGTTGGAAAGAAGTATGGCTGCATCACTCAAGCCCACCTACATGGCGCTTCAACAAGAACTCGAGGAAACGCTGTACCAATTCAAGGTGCAATTCAATGACCGTTCGCTCACCCCGCAAATGTACTTGGCCAACAACTTGGACACTCTTAAGTTGGCCGTTAAGGAATTGTCGCACAAGTTCACCCGGCTGGAACTTAGACTGATTGTCAAGAACGAGTTGGACCAACGCGCCATTGACTTGATTGCGGAGAAGTACTGGAATCTGCCCACTGAAGCTGTGTCACCTCAAACTCTTGAGCATGATATCCGGGAGCTCACACAACTCACTAAAGACGATCCTCACTGGGCTAAGGTCTTGGAAAACACCTGCGGTGCCTTGACCAAACTGGGAGTTGGTCGTCTTCTGACCAACTTGACCACGAGAGCGATTTTGCAAGAGGTGGAGAACTTGATTGACAATACCCAGTTGAGAGGCCACCCGTTGGCGAAACAGGCGGTGATGGATGCTGCCAAGCTGGTGCTTTCGTCAAAATACTACCTGACTCTGGACCAGGTTGAAAATCTGATCAAGCCCTACAAGTATGAGATTGACGTTGAGGACCGCGAATGGCAAGTTCTGCGGGAACACGCCAACCTTCTTCTCAAAGAGGAGCTCAAACAATGTGAGCAACGCATGAATGATCTCAAGCACGAGGTCGGTGGTCGCAAATTAGCCCAAGTTATGACTTATCTTGAAAAGGTCAACAGTCGTAGACTGAACGACCCTGAACTTCATGCCAATGAAGCTCTTGGATTTTCTCAAGCTTTGATCCATAAGGGGAAGGAAGGTCTTTTCTTGAAGGAACGGGCTTCGCTTCTAAAGATGAGACAATCGTTTGTGAAGAACTCCAAGAAGTGCCGTCGTAAGGATGGTAAGTATCAATGTCCTGAAGTATTCCTTGACATTGTTACGTCCAAGATCACACAAACGGCGGTGTTGTTTTTGAATGTTGAGCTCTTAAGTGACTTCTACTACAACTTCCCCAGAGAATTGGACGATAAGTTCTTCACTAACCTTACCAAGGAGGATGTGGAGAAGTTCGCCAAAGAAGACCCCAAGATTGCCCGTCACATTGAATTGCAAGAGCGCAAGGATTTATTGGAAACCGCTCTCGCTAAGCTTGATAGCGTGTTGGCGTTTCAAAGAACTAGAGGTCAGCTCACTGATGACGATAAGGAGAAGAAGTCGTTTGTTCCGTGGTAATGTATATAATCTTTCCATATGTTGTATAGGACACGAATCGACACGGAAGCTAGTATTTATGAAATCTTCACGTATTGAGAAAAATACCTCGCAGATTCTTATTGAGAGTCAAATAAAACCGTGGTTACTGACTACGAAGTCATAGAACCGCAAGAAAGTGGGATTCCACCACGTTTATTTCGTGATCTGACAGCGAAGTGGTGTTAGTAGCACCTGCATGATTCTTTCTAACTACAAGTGTTGTATCTATAGGTCGTCATTTATCATAGCACTTCTAGTTACCGGCGCTGGCGTTTAATTGCCAGGCAGGCACGCCGACGTTCTTTAAAGCGTCCTTCACTTTCGCGTCAGCCTCCTTGTCGGTGGCATTGACTTGCCACGAAGGAATGCCAGGCTTCTCCGCCGTCGACGAGCCCTCTTCAGGAGCGGGCGACTCAGCCTTTTCCAGTAATTCCTCCTGGGTCTTGTGCTGCATTTGCCAAGCAGGAATGCCGCCGGCAGTGACGTTGCCTACGGTGACAGGCTTCGACAAAGCGGGAGAAGATTCCCTCTTGGGTTCGGTGGTGGCGGCAGCGGGGGTAGCGGGCTTGTCGTCCTTGGAGTTGTTGTTGTTGAGGGTCTCAGCCGCAGAGGGAGCCGCCGCCGGAGTAGGCAGAGTGGCCTTCTTGTTGGCCATGCTCTTCTTGAGAATTTCCAGGGCCAGAGGGATCAGCGAGACGGGGGCGATCTTACGGGCAGGGCCCAGTTGCTGTTCAGCACGGGTCTTGATCAATTGCTTAAGACTTTGCAATTCCTCGTTGATGTCCAGGAGTTCGTCCTTGATGTTGTTCTTAGTGAAACCCATGTTCTTTTCGATGCTGTTGCTCAAGTTGTCGATTTCAAGCTTCATCAACCGCATGTCGTCGTCAAATTTGAGCTTATCCTTGTTGTATTTGGACAAGAAGTCGTTGACGTTGTCAATGACAATGTCCACCTCTTTAAGCTTGGTGTCGTTAGCTTCTTTCATCGCCGCTTGGTCCTCGGCCAATTGCTCCAAAAGCTTATCGATCTTAGCAAATTCTTCATCGATGTTCTGCTTGTCCAGTTCAATCAGTTCAAGCGAGGGCGGCACAATGGTCGGGAGCAAGTACTTGGTGAATACCTGGTACAACCCGTAGGTGACACCGGCGGTGGCGGTGGCCATGATAAAGTAGTCCTTCCACAGACGCTCAGGCACCTGAGGAGGAGCACCGTAGTAGTCAATGGGCGGCGCCGGTTGCGCCACCGGCATCGGGGCTTGGGTGTTGGCGGTGGTGTTAGTCTGTTGCTGGGTTGCCACTTGAGTCAGCTGACCCTGTTCGGCGTTGTATCGTTGCAACGCGGCCTCGATCTCCTGGTTGTTCAACCCTTTAGACTCCAAGAACTCCACCCGCTTGGTGAACGGAGCATTTGCCACGCCCGGGTCCTTAAGGAACTGGACGGCGCTGTTGATCAAGTCCTCGTTCATGACCGTTGTCTTTGGTTCCTCGGATGGAAAAACTGTGTGGGGTATCTAGTGAGCGAGCGGTGCGGGCCCTTCAACTGTGTGCAGGAACAAGCTTACCCCCACCACTGTTGACAGGCATGTGAGGGTTGCTGAAATCGATGACCTCGAGCAATAACAACGGCATACTCAGTTTGACACTGTTAAACCTTATTGATATGGTGTTTACAATTGGTAGTCAATACTAGGTGGTGCAACGTGACACAATGGTCATGGTAGCAGTCACAAACGTCTATACTATGATAAATCTGTTTTAGTACCGGCTAAAGGTACTGTTTTACTGCTTGTAGCACTATGTACAGAGTTTCGAGTTGTAAAGGCCCGCGGCACGGATGAGTTCTTCGTAGACACACCATGAGATCGCCGCCGAGAGCCCTTTACGGCCAAGACGCAACGACAACCCGCGGAATAAATTAAGGAAACCACCCGGCTCGCCGCAGAGCTGGCGAGTAGCCCCAGCGAAGGTGAGCTGATTGTTAAGCTGAAGACGAGTCTTGATGGCGTCAAAAGGACCCGTGACCGTGGTCGCGAGTGATGCAGCGATAAATGCCAGGGCTGAGTTAACCACCAGCGATGACGACGATACCAGTAATCCCGATAACATCTGGGGGAGTTCGGCTTTACTGGCCTCGTAGAAAAGGACATAGAGCCCCGCATAGGGCAGATCGCGAGCCAATGTCGCCATCGACCCGGTGAAAAAGTTTCTTATTGACCCACGAGGGTGGCCATCGTAGTACGTTCCCAACACTGCCTCCTTCATCAGTCGGTAGTGGTACATGTTGGACTCGTAACGGGTCTTGATCACGGTGATTGGCATCGTGACATAGCCGACAAGGGCGCGAGCCACGAACCCTGTCAGCAAGTTTTCCAACGGCGAAAGCTTAGGCAACACCAGCGACGCGTTGGTGGCAATGGCAGTGCCTGAACGACGAGCTTTATAGCCAGCAAGCGCCAGTCTAGCTTTCAGCAAACAGGTAAAATAGAGACCGGCGCCAACACCGGTGCGGAGCATCAGCGGCACCACGCCTCGCCATAACTCCTTAATCCGAGTAAGCTTAGCAAGTTCGCCTTTCAACGTCACCCTCACCACCGTCAGCAGCAGCAGTTGTTGCTGTTGGAGGCGGGTTTTGAGGAGATCGAGCGGCTGGAGAGCGGTGGCGGAAATGAAGCCAGCAATGCCTCCCAGGATCAAGTTGACGGTAGTGGTGGGTCCTTTAATCGGCTGCTTCACCGGCTGAGGCGCCGGCAGCGCTGGCGGAAGGGGGATGATGTCTGTAGGTTGAGTCAACGCCGGCGAAAGCGACACCGAGGGGGCGACATTCGGCGCCAGAGACTTGGTCATCGACGGGAAGCTCTGGTAGAGGCTGAGGTGAGGGCAATGGCAGCGAGACTCCCGAGGCCGAGGGGTTCGTAAAGGGTGTGGATGGGGTTTGGGTTGCTGCGACCGAGAGTGGCACCGGGTCGAGGAATGAAGCCCGGAGAGACCGAGGCAGATGGCACAATGCAGTCAGTTTGTGGGGATGTGAAGCGAGAGATAAGGGAGGAGGGAAAAGATAAGCGATAAGCAGATGTAGCCTAAGCGTGATGCGGTGTCTATAAGCTATGAGTTGAGTGGGTGAGAAAGATGTCTCAGATGAGCTCATCGGATCGGAGCCATGCGAACCCCGAAAATGTGGGGGACGAAATGGTTCCGCTTTTGTGCAATTATCGACGGTTGCCAAATGGGGTCAAACGAACACTATATTAAAACTCAGTTTGCTCGAGGAAGTGGAGCAGACGAGGGTGCATCACAAGCGCTTCGTCAATGGGTGGGAGGCCCACACCCCCAAGCCGGGAGAGAGCTGCTAACGCCAAGTACGAGTGGAGAGGATCAGGCACGGCTACACCGTCTTTAGAGAAACCCCCAAACATCAGGTGTTGCATTTTGGTGAGAAGCCACGTCTTTGCCGCTTCCTTATCGATATAGTCTTCGGCGCCAAGAATGGCAAGCAGACCCATACACCACCACAGATAGCAGGTGTCACCCAACTTGTTTTCTCGACCATTGAACAGGCCTCGCTGGCTTCGGTCATAGTATTCGTAATCGCCCCAAGTAAAGCCTTTGTCGTCGCTATCGTAGTCCACCTGTCGATGGACAAGCCAATCCACGGTTTGCTGCCACTGACTGCGCTCAAACTGATAGCCAGCGAGCTTTAATGCTGCTAATCCGCAGAACGTGAACCCAAGATGAGGCTCGGCCCCAATGGACAGGGCCATGCCGCCGTTAAAACTGACCCGCTCGAGCACATAGTCCACCGTCAGGGGAAGTACTGGTTGTTTGACCATGGCGGCGATCCCCAGCGCCATGTATACCTGACGAAGATCAGGCTCGCCTTGCGGCTGAGTTTGCTCGCGGCCACTAAGCGCTGGGTAGACGCGTCCATCTTCACCCAGACACAATTGGAGAAACCTCATCACCTTTTTCGGCTTGATTTTCTCAGCGTAGCCTGGCCATTGAAGCTGAAGGAGACAAGTAAGGGCGAAAAACGTCGCTGAGACGTAGGCTAGATCGTAGGCGCCGGCGCCGCTGAAATGAGCCGTGGGTCGGAACCCCTGCCACTCGTCAGTCTCAATGACAAACTTGTCGTATATATGGTCGGCTACCGCTCGGTAGTATTGCCGATCACCTTCGCTCATCGGCTTATCCTCAGGTGACACCATCGCCTCGCCATGGAGACAGAAGTAGACAAGCGCAAGAAAATTGGCATCTTCAGACAGGGCCTGGGCTGGGAACGCCGCAAGACATCGTTGGAAGTACCGGATGTGCTTGTCAACCTGGAGGGCCTCCTTCTCCATTATACACACTGCTCGTGAGATTGAATTTGGCGATAGTTCTATGCAGTCTCACTGTTCCTATTTTTTCCAAATACCGATATCGCCTCACTCACAATGGGATACGAAGTTTACATGGAAGAGCAAATTGAGTGGGGTTGACGATGCAATCGATAATTAGGTTATCCCGGTAGTTTCGCCGACGACGGTCGCCGCGTCATTAGCCTGCGAGGGGTCGCTGGACTCCGCCATGTTCTGGTTTTTTGTGTCGCTGAAAGACGACATGAAGTTTATCCGAAGCACCCCTTAGTGTCCGATGCCTTGCGCTAATGGAATACTCGGCAACGGTCGAATTGGCAAACTGCTGATACTTTCAACCACAAAAACACGCTGGGAAGATCATCCGTGACATTGTGCTGGCGGTGACCTCAATATGCACAGGGAGTGCGATTATGTGAGCACTAAATCGCTCATTATATGGCTGGCTTGTTTGTAAATCAAATGGTAAACATTGGAAGTTTCGGCTCATCAACAAGATAGGCACATAGCCTCAGCCAGCGACGTTGTTGATTCCTCTGAATGCTCCTCAGTAGTCTGATAAGCGACGCAAGTTGGGGTCGGCAAGGGGCTCAGGCAGACGCGTGTACCAACAGGATTTCATGTAGGGAGCGCGCTCTGATGACGTGCGAGATGTATCACCCCCGCCAAAGTCCTACCTTAAACGGCGGGAAACACCTCTGTAAATTGCGCCCATGAAGGTTGAGCCATGTTTTTCATTTCGATGTTAGTGGCAATTTTCGCTGCTGACACTGCCTAGCAACCCAACTAAAACATTCGCGATCAGCGCGAATAGTTCTCACATATGACACAATTCAGTGCGAGGTCATAGTACAGCGATTTCAGGTGAGTGCAGCACCGCGTACAATAGCCCCCTACCAGCAGCCGAGTTCACAGCCACGGCCTTCACACAGATTTCGATTATGTGCACACCACCTCCGCTCAGCCGCCGATTCCTCCGGGGATGTCGCTATTTCCTCAAACTGGGTCCTCGGGCGGGTTTGCATATCGCGAGGTTTGGACACCACGACCATGTTTCCGAGGACCAAAGTACGAGCCCTCTGAGACCTTCAATTGGTCAAATTAGGTCTAACTTAACGTAGAAATCACTTCCTAATGGTCGTATGGACATTGGCAGCGACATCGTACGGTTCTAATAACACAATGCAGTGAATCGTTCGTCAGCATTCCTTGTCCCCGTCACGTTTAGCCGTCCCGGGGTTAATAGCCTCGTCCCTGTCTCCTATTATTAGCAAAATAAAGCATTTTTTTTCACGAGCCAGCGTTGACAGCCCCTATCGTCTGTTCATATGCAATCCGTCGTTGCTTGCGAGGCTTGCGAGGCGAAGTGTTTCGGTGGTGGCGGTGACTTCATCAAAGCCGTGGGTACAAAGCGGTGGAGGTTGCTCTTTACGGGTTCACGATGCGGTGAAAGGAGCACGTTGCTCATAGAATGCACAGGGGGGCGTGGAGATGCGCAAGGGAGAGTGGGGTGAGAGCGTGGGGGAACTTTGAGAAACACGTAGAACCATCTGCGCCGTGTGATTCGCTGCTGTGGTTGAAATACTCATGCTGATGGTTACGACCACGAGCAATCGCCACCGCCTCCATTGCCAGCCCGCCGCTGATATAGACACGGTTTACAATGCACAACGCGAAAGCAATTTGCAAGTTCGCCATACGAGGTGGTGGGAAAGTAGGTCTGTGGCGTCAATTTGAGAGACGCGACTAAGCTTGCGGTTTATTGTGTTTAGTTCAAGCCGACACCACTGTTTTTTTTGTCGAAACCCTAATTGCGGTCGGGGGTCTTAACCATATCGCGTTGCCAAAATGCCGGATTCATTTTCACAGCTCCCCTTAACCTTCTGGGCAGTGTCGTCGTCAACATTCTCCTCGTGTGCTTTCTCCATCGTAACCCAACTTTATCACACAGCAATCCCGCCACACTTTTTCACGCCAACCACGACAGGCTGTGATTTTGGTGATCTAGTAAGCCATACTATTCCTGTGACCGCATCTGGATAAATTACGTGGAATTTTGGAGCCTCACGCAACGGGGGCGTCTCCGCGAACAGGGGTTCTCAACTGTGTTGGCAAGTCTCGCCCTTCGACAATAGCGTAAACGCGGTGAGCGCGGGCAGTGCTACCTGTATCGTGATACTGTACCATTAGATCATCGACATTTCACTAGTGTACAGGAAAGACAAAAAAGTAAAACCAATGAGGCTGGCACCTCATTTGCCCGACCAAGCTGTACTAATAACCAACCCACTAATGCTTCAGCTCTGAAATTTTCTTTTCAGCCGGTTTGTGCTTTGTTTACCTTCTCCAAGACGAGGGATATTCGACATGGCTCGGCGGTTCCTGAACCCTCGCGTACCGAAAATGCTGCCAGGGCTTCAATGTTGACAAGCTTAAAAAATATATGCACCTTGACCACATGGGGAAGTGGGCAGTACGGGACTGGGGCGGTTCGTTTTCGGCTATATATATGCCCATTAAGTCTCCCCCCGACTAATCTTTCATCGGTAAAATGAAGTTCGCTCAAGTTTTGGCTCTCACCGCTGCTACTGCTTTCGCTGCCACTGTGGAAGTCACTGAAACCGCCTCTGGCCAAGAAGCCGCTGCCTCGGGTGCTGAACCCTCGGGTGCCGCCGAATCGTCGGGCGCTGGTGCCGAATCGTCGGGCGCCGCCAAGTCGTCTGGCGCTGGTGCCGAATCCTCGGGTGCCGCTGAATCTGGCGCTGAATCGTCGGGTGCTGGTGCCGAATCGTCGGGTGCTGCTCAATCGTCGGGCGCCGCCGAATCCGGTGCCGAATCGTCGGGTGCTGCTGCCTCGTCTGGTGCTGAAGAATCCGGTGCCGAATCGTCGGGTGCCGCTGAATCGTCGGGCGCTGGCGCCTCGGAATCGGGTGCCGAATCGTCGGGTGCTGCCAAGTCGTCGGGTGCCGCTGAATC